ATATGACACTAAAAGCATAAACCACAAAAGAAGAAAAACAGAAACTGGAGCTCAAAAAAAATTAGAATCTTTTGTGCACCAAAGAACACTATCAAGAAAGTGAAAAGACAACCCACTGAATGGAATGAAATATGTGCAAATCATACATCTAACAAGGATCTACTATCCTAAATATAAAGAACTATTATAACTCAATAAAAGACAAACATCTCAATTAAAAAACGGACAAAACAAACATTTCTACAAACAAGATACACACAACAGTGGCCAATAAGCACACAAAAAGAGCTCAGTGTCATTAATCACTTGGGAAGGGCAAATCAAAACCATATTGGCCCTGGCTGGGTGGCTCAGTTGGTTGGAGCACTGTCCCGTACATCACAAAGGTTTTGGGTTTGATTCCAGGTCAGGGTGCATATGAGAGGCAACCATTGATGTTTATCTCTCTTTAAAAATCAATAAAACATATCCTTGGGTGAAGATCAAAAAAACAAACAAAAACCCACAATATAATGGGCAAAAAATGTTGGTGAGGATGTGGAGAAATTGAACATTGCTGGTGAGAATGTAAAATGTTCCAGCCAATGTGAAAAATAGTTTGGCAGTTTCTCAAAAAGTTAAATACAGAGTTAACTTATGACCCACCAATTCCAGTCCAAAGGAATTTACTGCAAAGAACCAAAAACAGGTATTCAAATAAAAGCGTGTACATGAACGTTTATAGCAGCTCTAATTCACAATAGCCAAAGGTGGAACCAATTCAAATGTCCATCAACCAGTGATTGAATAACAAAATGTGATCTATCTATACAATAGAATATTATTCAGTTATAGAAAGGAACAAAGTACCAATACATGCTACAACATGGATGATTTCAAGAACATTGTGCTAAGTAAATGAAGCCTGACACAAAAGGCCTCATATTATGATTCTTTTTTATATAAAATATCCAGATAAGCAAATACTTGGGGACAGAAAGCAAATTAGCAGTGCCAGTGGCTGGGAGAAGCAGAGAATAGTAAGTGACTGCTTAATGGCGGTGGGGTTTCCTTTTGGTGATAAAAAAAAATCTGGAACTAGGGACTACATCAAAATAAAAAGCTTCTGCACGGCAAAAGAAACCATCAACAAAACAACAAGAAAGCCCACTGCATGGGAGAACATATTTGCCAATGTTTTCACCGATAAGGGTTTAATCTCCATCATTTATAGGGAACTCATACAACTTAACAAGAGGAAGATAAACAATCCAATCAAAAAATGGGCAAAGGACCTAAATAGACACTTTTCAAAAGTGGACAGACAGAAGGCCAAGAGACATATGAAAACATGCTCCAAGTCACTAATCATCCGAGAGATGCAAATCAAAACAACAAGGTATCATCTCACACCTGTCAGAATGGCTATCATCAACAAATCAACAAACGACAAGTGCTGGAGAAGATGCGGAGAAAAGGGAACACTCGTACACTGCTGGTGGGAATGCAGACTAGAGCAGCCATTATGGAAGACAGTATGGAGTTTCCTCAAAAAGTTAAAAATGGACCTCCCATTTGACCCAGTGATCCCACTTCTAGGAATATATCCCAAGAAACCAGAAACACCAATCAGAAAGGATATATGCATCCCTATGTTCATAGCAGCACAATTTACCATTGTGAAGATCTGGAAACCACCTAAGTGCCCACCAGCAGATGAATGGATTAGAAAACTGTGGTACATCTACACAATGAAATACTACACTGCTATAAAAAAGAAGGAATTACAATTTGCAACAGCATGGATGGAACTGGAGAGCATTATGCTAAGTGAAATAAGCCAGTCAATGAAAGAAAAATACCACATAATCTCACTCATTTGTGGATAATAAAGACCATTATAAACTGATGAGCAAAAATAGATACAGAGGAGAGCAGCATCAAACAGACTGTCAAACTACAGCGGGAAGGCCGGGGAGGGTTGGAGGTAAGAGATCAACCGAAGGACTTGTATGCATGCATATAAGCATAACCAGTGGACACAAGACACTGGGGGGTAGGAGAGGTTGGGGGAATGTCAAGGGAGAAAAAAAAAGGAGACATATGCAATACTCTTTGTAATACTTTAAGCAATAAAACAAAATTTAAAAAAAATCTGGAACTAGATAGAGGTGATGGTTGCGCAATATTGTGAATAAACTAAATGCTACTGAATTGTATACTTCAAAGTAGTTAAATGGTAAATGTTGTATGTACTTTAACACTTGTGCATAAAATACATGGCAGTCTAATACATTCAAGATCTTCCTTCAACTAATCTCTCTTGCTTAAGTCACTGGTCCCTCCTCCAATTCCTAACTCCTCAGTTTTTGAATACGCTAAGCTGTTTCAAGCAATTGGTTGTTCTTTATAGATATTGTTTCCACTGCCTGGTAATCTTTCAAGCCTCAGCTCAAACGTTTATCCAACAAACATGTACTGAAACGCTCCTGTATTCAAGGCACCGTATTAGATTCTAGGAATACAGCAATGAACAAAATAGATAGTCCCTTTCCAATGGAGCTTAGAGTCCAAGGAGCGAGGTGAGGACATCAAGTAAACACTTGCATTACTTAACTGTAATGGCAGGTGCCTTCCAAATAGAGAGGGCACCATGACAGCATATCACAAAGTGTCCCTCACCTAGTTGCAGGGGGAGAACCTTAAGGAAAAGGTTCTTGAAGAAGAGACATTTAAACAGAGCCCTGAAGAATACAGAAGTAAGTTAGTTAGGTGTAGATGGGCCATTTTCAAGAGGCCCAGACCTCCATAAGTTGACAAATACTGGGGCCGGTCACCAGGACTCTTGGCACTGAAAAGATGAAGCTCTCAGCTAGCACCCATACAACCGACTCTCACTAGCCACACACTAGAAAACAGAGGTCTAAGGAACCTGGGACTTGAAAGAAAAAAGAGCAGGGAACTTCTATCCCATGCTCTCAGAATGTTCTCCAGAATACATTTCAGGATCCACTTTTGTTATTTGAGAGATTTTCCTGAATAGTTCTTAAGACCTTCCTGTCAACTCCCTTTGAAAACCCTTTCTCACTTTCCCCTTCCTTTGTGCCCCCAGTGTGTCTAGAAACATCTTATCCCTTACTTGCCTCTCTCAGAATCAGTTTGTATGATAGTGTGAACCCTGAGAAAGAAGATACCTACTAAGAAGGACTCCTGGTGGCTAACTGGGCTCAAATTTAAAAAACAAACAGCCCTGGCCAGTGTGGCTCAGTTGGTTGAGCATGGTCCCATGCACCAAAAGGTCATTGGTTGCATTCCGGAAAGGGCACATGCAGGCTCCACCCCCAGTAGGGGGCGTGTATGAGGCAGCCAATGGAGGTTTCTCTCTCTCTAATCTAATTAAACAAAACAAACAAACAAAGCTCAGCAGCCATTTCTACACAGGGGCCTCTCACGCAATTTGCACTTTACAGAGAAGCCTGCACTGAACTGCCTGCCTACACTGTTACGTCACCTGAGACAGTCCTACTAAGGAGTTCCTGGAACAATATTTCAACCAATGGGAATGAGGCTTTCCCCATCCAATCGGAGCAGTGCTGCCATATCCTCATCCGCTTCTTCATGAACCAATCAGAGAAGCTCCATTCTGACCAATCACAGTGTCTTTTGGACCAATCAAACTGAGAGTTGGCGCGACATTTGCATGAGGAAGGACTAGAGGGGACCAGAGGTGGGACTTCTGGCAACATAAACCAGCGGCCTCTGCTGAGAGCACTTTCCCTTCCCACCTAAGGCAGTTCTCCCAGCTGGAGCTGAAACTGCAACACGGATGTGACCTCTCTGATGCTTTGCCCTGAATAGTTTCCTTCTTCACTGTGACCCCAAATTGGGGATTCCTGTGCTGAATTGGTACTAAGGACCATGGGTGAGGGCTGCCATCTGCCTCTAATCCCCAAACCTTACCCAATGTTGCCCTGTCAGTATACACTCGGGCTGTACAGTCAGCGGGGCTGCAGAAGGCAGAGGGAACGGCAGAAAACAGGAGGGCTAGGCCACCAGGGACGATCGGGCAGGGCGTGACTGCCAAGCTAAAGGAGTTTGGTCAGTGCTTCCCAACTTAACAGAGTTTTAGAATCCGGAGGAAAAGACGTTGAAATACAGGTTACCCCAACCTCACTCCAGGTCCGCCGAACAGCCACTGCCCCAGGTGGTTCTGAGGATCAGACAAGTCTGGCAACCACTGCTGTTGGCAAGGAAGATGCAAGGTTTCAAAGCAGATGAGTGAAACCTCTGAACTACATTTTAAATGCCCATCAGTCCTAAGAGATGACAGGAGGCCACGGCAATGGTCTGGGGGAGACAGTGAAGACCCACAGATGGGAGAGAAATCGCCTTCATCTCTATCCCCCGTGCCCACCAGGCTGTCCCGCTTCGCGGGCCTCACCAAGTACGGCTGATGAGAAATGCGACCCCTTACCCGCCTCATGCGACCCTTGGACAGCAGGTCGGCGATCCCCTTGGCCGCGTCGTTCTTCTCGGCCACGCAGAGGACTTTCCGGACGCCTCGGAAGGCCACCTCCATGGCGGAGGTGGGAAAGGTCCGGCCTCCGGGCCGATGCAGACACCGGAGCGCGCAGCGGGAGACGGGGAAGATCATCCCGGGCGCCCGCGCATGCTGTGGAACACAGAGGTGAGGGTCACCTCACCCCGCGCCCACCCTAAGGGAACCAGAGCCTACGAGAGCCCCCAGCGTGCGGCCGCAGCCTGGTCTCCTCCCACAAGCCCACCCGGCTTGGGGGATGCGGCCACTTAGCCTTCTCCTCTCCACCCGCCGCGTCCGCTTCCGCCCGCCTTCTCCAGCCACTTCCGCCAGGCGCGAGTTCCTAGCACCGCGAACTACAACTCCCACACTGCCCCGCGCTCCCGGATCCCGGTCCCAACACGTTTCCGCTCCCCCGCTTCATTTCCTTTCTTTCCTGGCAGTGTTAGTTAATCGATTGGTCCTTGCTCCACAGTCCCCCCGCCTCCCCCGAGCCTCTCGGTCACAATCTTTTTCGCTCTTGCTCGGAAGTCTACGCGAACGTTTCCGGGTCACGCGGCGCCAATACCGCGAGTCATGTGATACCAAGATGGCGGCGCCGCTGTAGCTGTCTTTGGGTTGTGGCGTCCAAGGAGCGGGGACCGTTTCTGCCCTCGGGTCGTGGGGGCGGCAACGCTTGGCTGGTCCCTGCGGCGGCCTGTAGCCCCACGTTAGGTACCAGGTCAGGCCCGGGGCTGTTGCTACCACCGGTGGTTCGGGGAAGTCCCGGTGACCTCGCTGCAGGTGCTCTGCGCCGGCCGCGCTTGGCAGAGGAGGGGGCAGCCGGCCTCCCTGTCTTCTGGACTTGCGGAGTTCATGAGGCCTGGAGGGGATACACCTCTGAGGGGCTGCGGGAGTTTGAGTTCTCGGGTGTGTGAGAGGCAGGCAAGTACCCCTAAGGGCGCAACGAAGTCGACAAAAACTGCTTCCTCTTGCGGAGGCCTGGCTTCCCGGCGTTGATTGCCCCAGCGTTCTTTCTCACTTCCTCTCAATGTTCTCTCTGCACATCTGGAAATATGATCAGCGCCCCTGACGTGGTGGCCTTCACCAAAGAGGACGAGTATGAGGAGGAGCCTTACAATGAGCCGGCTCTGCCAGAAGAGTACTCGGTGCCGCTCTTCCCCTTCACAAGCCAGGGAGCTAACCCATGGTCCAAACTGTCCGGAGCCAAGTTCTCTCGGGACTTCATCCTTATTTCCGAGTTCTCAGAGCAGGTGGGACCCCAGCCCTTGCTGACCATCCCCAATGATACCAAAGTTTTCGGTACTTTTGACCTCAATTACTTCTCCTTACGGATCATGTCTGTGGATTACCAGGCTTCCTTCGTGGGCCATCCTCCTGGGTCTGCCTATCCCAAGCTGAACTTCGTGGAGGACTCCAAGGTGGTGCTGGGAGACTCCAAAGAGGGCGCCTTTGCTTATGTGCACCACCTCACCCTGTATGACCTGGAGGCCCGTGGCTTCGTGAGGCCCTTTTGCATGGCTTATATCTCAGCAGACCAGCACAAAATCATGCAGCAGTTCCAGGAGCTTTCGGCTGAATTCTCCAAAGCTTCAGAGTACTTGAAGTCAGGCAACAGGAAGGCCTTTGCTGTGGAACTTGAAAAAAAACTGAAAGACTTGGATTACACCAGGACAGTGTTGCACACGGAAACGGAGATCCAGAAGAAAGCCAATGACAAGGGCTTCTACTCATCGCAGGCAATTGAGAAAGCCAACGAACTGGCCAGTGTAGAGAAGTCCATCATCGAACATCAAGACCTTCTGAAGCAGATCCGCTCATACCCTCATCGGAAGTTGAAGGGGTCTGATTTGTGTTCTGAGGAGATGGAGCATGCTCAGGATCAGCCTGACCAAGCACTCACTACTTCCAACCCTGAGGAGTGTGCTGACACAGACCTTTACACCTGCAGACCTGCCTACACCCCAAAACTCATCAAAGCTAAGTCCGCCAAGTGTTTTGACAAGAAGTTGAAGACCTTGGAAGAGCTCTGTGACACTGAGTATTTCACCAAGACCCTGGCTCAGCTCAGCCACATTGAGCACATGTTCAGAGGAGACCTGTGCTATCTCCTGACTAGCCAGATTGACAGAGCACTACTAAAGCAACAGCACATAACAAACTTTCTCTTTGAAGACTTTGCAGATGATGATAGGATGGTAGAGAAACAAGAAAGCATACCCTCTAAGCCCAGTCAGGAGAGGCCACCTTCCAGATCTCTAGAAGAATGCCCAATTCCTCAAGTATTAATTAGTGTTGGCTCTTACAAGTCCAGTGTGGAGTCTGTGCTGATCAAGATGGAGCAGGAGTTTGGAGGTGAGGACTGTAAGGAAGTGGAGGTGGCAGAAATGAGCAGTTTTGATCTCCATGGAAACTTAGACTACCTGGATATGGATATGAAAGGGAGTATCAGCAGTGGTGAAAGCATTGAGGTTCTAGGCACGGAGAAGTCCACCTCTGCGCTGTCAAAGTCTGACAGTCAGGCCAGCCTCGTGGTGCCACTGAGCCCCCAGGTGATCCGGAGCAAAGCAGTCAGCCACAGGACCATCAGTGAGGACAGTATTGAAGTCCTCAGCACCTGCCCCTCTGAGGCCCTCATCCCTGATGACTTTAAGGCCAGCTACCCAAGTGCTATTAATGAAGAAGAATCATATGCAGATGATAATGAGGGAGCCATCCATTTCCAGGCAAGCATCAGCCTAAGCAAGCTGGGTGAGCCAGAGGAGGGCAGTTTAGAAAACACTTCGTCACAAGCAGACTCCTGCTGCATTGGGAAGGAGAGTGACAGTCTGCTGGTGCCACTCACCACTCCAATCCACACACTCTCTGACGAGGATGGAGTAGTGAGCATCCCCCCACAGCGCTACAGGCAGAAGGACCAGGGGTTCTGTGTGGACTATGCAGTGGAAAATGCCAACCCTTCTTCCCGAGACAACAGTTCTGAAGGCTTCCCTGCTTATGAGCTGGACCCAGGCCAACTGCTGGCTAGCAGGGATATCAGTAAGATCAGCCTGGACAACTACTCGGACACCACCAGCTATGTGAGCAGTGTGGCCTCCACCAGCTTGGACAGGACTCCCTCCTCTGCTCATCCCACTGGCTCCTCTTTTGAGAGGCATAAAAAGAGGGCTGGCCAGAATGCCTTAAAATTCATCCGCCAGTACCCCTTTGCCCACCCAGCCATCTACTCCCTGCTCAGTGGGAGGACACTTGTGGTCCTGGGGGAGGACGAGGCCATAGTCAGGAAGCTTGTGACAGCATTGTCCATCTTCGTCCCCAACTACAGCTGCTATGCCAAACCCGTGAAGCACTGGGTCTCCTCCCCTTTGCACATTACGGATTTTCAGAAGTGGAAGCTTATTGGCCTGCAGAGGTAACTGGTTACAGATAGTGGGGAAGGGCCTGTTAAATGTACATGCCTCTGGGTGAGGCTAAAAGTTGGTGTGGTGGACCAGAATCAGGAGGCCTGGCTTCCAGTCTGGACCCAGCACCAACTCACCATTACTTTTGGCAACTCATTCCCCTTCTGTTTCCTTTTCTATTAGTCACATGAGGGGATTGTAGTTCCTAAGTGGTTGCCAGTCCTGGATTGCATCCAGTTGTGCCAGAATTATGGGAGAATTTCATTTTATTTATTTTAAAACATGTTTTTATTGATTTCAGAGAGGAAGGGAGCGGGGGGGGGGGGGGGGAGAAAGAGAGAAACATCAGCGACGAGAGAGAATCCCACTGGGGATTGTGCCTGCAAGCTGGGCAGTTGGGCAGACTGGGACTCAACCACTGAGCCACGTTGGCCGGGCGTATGGGAGAATTTTAAAAATCACAATTCCTGGGCTCCATTTCCAGAGATTCTGATTCAGTTGGCCTGGGAAAGGCTGGACTTCTAGATCTTGGGTCCTTGTTTATCCTCAAATTTACACTATGGTGTGAATGACTAACAAGTGATCTGCGTCTGAGAAAGGGCTGTGGTAGTAATGGGAGGGCAGCCATCACTGACTGGTGGGAGGGACATCAGAGGGCTCCAGTGGCTTTCACGCCACTGTCCTGTTTGCCTTTGAAGGCTGTCTTAATAAGGAAATGCAAAAGCCAATTCATTCTTCCCTCTGGATGCTTTCTACTTCATTTCCTTACGCTTTAATGGTTCTTTTTGTTTTTCCAAATACTGCTTGACAGATGTCTGACTCAAGGGACTCTCTTTCAGTGTATGCACTGTGTTCAGTTTCCTCAGCCCCTTCTCTGCACCCCACTTTGCTCATCTGTAAAACAAAGGTTTTGAGCTAGGTTATCATCAGAGTCCCTGCTGACACATAGGAAGGGCAAAAATTTCCACACTGCAGTCAGCCACCGTTTGTTCTAATTTTCTGACTTCCCCTTTACATGGGTTCCTAATACCAGTGAGGTCACCTTCCCGTCTCCTTGTGTCCACCCTTCTTAATGAAGTCACCTGGACTTAACTAACCCCTTGCTGCATTAGGCTTTCCTCACAGTCATCATGGTGGGATTCAAACAAATACCACTTCTATGTCATGACTTGACTCACTTGTTGAGAACCTACAAGCCATTCTCGCGGGTGTGGCGCTATCAGCTGGAGGTACCTGAGCAAGGCCATTGCTCTGGAAAAATTTGTAGTTTAGGAGAGAGGACAGACAGTGATCAGGGCCTTGCCATACGGAGAGATAAGAGTTCTAACAGTGGGTGTTTTGTGTGTTCTAAGAAAACAGCATAATTTAGTCACACCTGGGAAGCAGGAAGGGAGACTGGAGAAGGCCTGGGGTCTTTGAATGACCTGGAGGGTGGACTTGCCCTTGTTGGGTAAGAGTGGGACCAAGTCATGGGACGTGGTGTGATGTGCCTGTGACACCTGGACAAGCTCATTCCTTGGGCATCATAGGAAACCATTAAAGTCTTTGCTTACAGATGTAGAATCCAAGGGTCAGTAGGTTGGATGATGGCACTGATGGCTTTGTCTTGCCTCCCAGCATCCTCACCCTCTGCTGGTGGCACCTCTGTGCTCTTGGGATTAACCCTTCTGTCCCAGGAAGGGAAGGGCTTTTCAGGGATTGTGTTTTGCTACTGTTCTTGGTGGAATGATGAGTTGGTATTCCTCATATGCACCCACATACACACTCACACACCTTCTGTTCTCCAACTCAAGCCCTCACCCTAACCCTTCAACTTTGACATTTTTACTTGAAAAGATGGAGGATCTAAAACATGTCAATCTATCAACATCACCTGGCTTATTGAGGACCAGGCTCAAGATGGTCTTGCCCTTTCTGGAGGCTTTCCCTTAAATTCCCTCCTTAGAATGTGCCAGAATGGCAAAAGAGGTTCATTTCTTACATCAGCTCCATTCTACTGCGTACCTGATTGAAGTGCTCTGTTGGGAAGGACTCAGGCCTCGGTTGGGCTGCATTGGAAATCCTGCTGTCATCAATTAATGATGTTTCTGTGGTGCAGGAAAGGGTAGCTGGCAAGTGGGCAGTATATTTGGCATCCTGGAGTGGAGGAGGTGTGAGGTGGTCTGAGTCCTGTGTCATCCCTCTCACTGTCCATTCACAGTGGGCACCTGGGCAAACTACTACTTGTCTCAAGGCTTTGTTCCCTCCTGAGAAAAGAAAAGGGTTGGATCACTGAATATCATTTGCCAAGTACTTATTGAGGGCTATGTGCCAGCTACTGTGCCCAGTGCCAGAATTATAAGGTGAGTCGGCAGCCGTGTCAGGGCAAGCATGCCCTTCCCAATCAACCCTCACTTTAGCCCCAGCTCTGTCACTGCTGTCAGCTTGACCTCTCTGAGGCTGGCCTTGTGATTGCAGAGGTCGGAAGGCCTATCACATCTGATCTGTGCCTGATCCATGAGCCCTCCTCTGTAGATTCATTATGGTCTACCCCATCCTGAATAGGAAGGCAGGCCAGGGCAGCAGGGACTGAGTGTGGCCCACACCACCAGACTGCAGAGCCTGGAAGCAGCCCTTCACGAAAGTGAGAGTCCTGTCGGAAGTGGCCAGTGAGGTCTTTTCAAGAATCCCAAGTGGGGAAATGATGACTTCTGTGAAGCTCTCCTGCTGACCTGAGTGTGCACACCTGCTGGGAGTTGGAAGCACCTGCCTCCAGGGGGTCCTTCTCAGGCATGAAGAATGGTAGATGGGCTGGAGGTCTTGTTCCCTAGGGGACTTGTCACTGGATGATCAGCTGAGGGAGTAGAAATGGAGTGGGGACCGGATTTGCTACAAATCACCCGAAATAATTCTGAGGTGAACGGTAGACAGAGTGTGAAAATATCAAGAGATGAAAACCCATAGAGTTGTGCTTCATGGCTGTTGGAGGCAGTGTGTGGTCTGAGTTCAGATCCTGGTGTCAACAGTACTGTGTGAATTTGGACCAGTCACGTCATTCATTCCCTGAACAAAACTTGTTGATCCTGTCTGTAAATAGGCTTACAGTAGTCCCCACATGGAGCTGAAGGCAGGCACATCTAGGATGTGTGAACAGCCCTAGTGCCGTGCTTGGCAGCCCTCAAAAGTGCTTGGAGTTGTGGGTGGATGGTGAGTTACCCCATTAGGCAGACCCAACGTTGAAACAGGCGGATTGAGGCCCATCTGAGGGTCAGCATTGAAGAGTATGAGTAGAAGAGGTGTCTTGGTGTGTCACCAGCTTCCCATCTATGGTCCCGTGTGCTAAGTTAATCTGGAATCGGAGAATTGTGTGACTCGGAGAGTCTTCCCACTCAGGTGCTTTGCCTCCAGCTAAAATCAGCTCAGATGATGAACTGTTTTTAAGGACTCACCCCAGAACTGCTAATGTCATTGGCAGTTTGATTTTATTTTTCTCCTAAGGTAGGCCCTCACTGTCTACAGCAGTGATGGCGAATCTATGAACTCATTTTTTTGGTTGATTTTTCTTTGTTAAATGGCATTTTAAATATATAAAATAAGTATCAAAAATACAAATCTTTGTTTTATTATGATTGCAAATATCAAAAAAATTTCTATATGTGACACCAGAGTTGTTAGGGTTTTTCTTTTTCTTTTTTTTAAAATGTATTTTATTGATTTTTTTACAGAGAGGAAAGGAGAGGGATAGAGAGTTAGAAACATCGATGAGAGAGAAACACCGATCAGCTGCCTCCTGCACACTCCCTACTGGGTATGTGCCCGCAACTAAGGTATCGAACCTGGGACCCTTGAGTCCGCAGGCCGACAGGATAGGGACTGAGCCAAACTGGTTAGGGCAAGTTAGGGTTTTTCAAAATGCTAACACGCCAAGCTCAAAAGGTTTGCCATCACTGGTGTACAGAGTGGATACAGGATAAGGACACACAATCAAATCAGTCTCCCATGATTTTAAGTCAAAACCAGATGTTATTGTATTGTTTAGTAAGCAGTAGTAACAAGCCCTGGACCATTTGGAAAACAGCTTAGTTCTGGAGGGAAACAGTGCGAGGGTGGGTCAGAGGCACTCCTGGGTTGAGTCCTACTTCTGCCACTTTCTAACTAGGTGATCTTGGACAAGTGATGGCCCCTCTCTGGGCCTCAGTGTCCTTGTCTGTACAGAGATTGCCTCCCTGGCTTTGGGATAGACCAGTGGTCAGCAAACTGTGGCTCGCGAGCCACATGCGGCTCTTTGGCCCCTTGAGTGTGGCTCTTGCACAAAATACCACGTGTGGGCGCGCATGTACAGTGCGATTGAAACTTCGTGGCCCATGCGCAGAAGTTGGTATTTTGTGGAAGAGCCACACTCAAGGGGCCAAAGAGCCGCATGTGGCTCTCGAGCCGCAGTTTGCTGGCCACTGGGATAGACCATAATGAATCTGCACAGGTGTGGGAAGTGAAGTGTGAGGCTCTCAGGTGCCTATGCTGTACAGCTGAGGGACAAGCCTGGCACTTGCTTCTTCCCATGTTGTCTGGCCTCCTGATAAGGAGTTTTGAGGGAAGCAGAAATGGAGGAAGAGTTAGAAGAAGCAGCATCTTCTCAGAGAAGTGGTGGTGCCATAGGTGGGACTGGGTGGGGGCATCTGAGCTTTCCTGGGAGAAGCTGGGCCTGAGGCCAGCTTCAAGATAGGTGGCTGGAATGGAGGGGCAAGAAGATGAGGCTGTGCTGCTGCAGCAGCGCCTTGGTGGGCTGGATGTGCCAAGCCTGAGGAGGTGTTTGGCTCATAGTCTGGCCCCCTTGGCCACCTTTGGTCTGGATGCCTGCCACAGATCCCAAGGCCCACCTTTATTCTAAGACCACTCCTCCAGAACCTTCTGGCCCGGGGCCTCTCCTGTGGAGGCTGAGACACATCCCCCTTCACTCAGTGTCTTGGCTTTTCTTTCCAACCAAAGCAGGCTCATCACCACCTGCTCTGCCCCTGGGTCACTACCTGGAATATAACAGATGCTCAGTGAACGATTGTCAATTACACAAGGTGACAACATTCAGGAAGGAAAAGTTATTATGAGATTACCTTGGTCCCAAGTGACTGTCAGTCCATTTTACACACCATCTTGGGTCTAATACAAGCCCTAAATTCCAGAGTCTGTCAGTCTGTGAAATCTGGTCAGCCAGCCACTTGCCAGACGACAGGGAAAAACGGATGTAAAGGAGGGTTTTACAGAGCTGCTTACTAGACTGACCGCTCCGACTTCCTCCCTCGCTGAGCAAACGCTGCCTGCCTACCCTGGTGTGCAAGGCAGTGGGGGCAAGAGGCCAAATTTTTGCAGGCCTGGGTCTGCAAAAACTCCTGGCCAGTGGGCAGGACAAGAAGACAGCTATCACCACAGTGGTCAGTGTCAGGCATTCTTTTTTTTTTTTTTTTTAATATATTTTATTGATTTTTTACAGAGAGAAAGGGAGAGGGATAGAGAGTTAGAAACATCGATGAGAGAGAAACATCGATCAGCTGCCTCCTGCACACTCCCTACTGGGGATGTGCCCGCAACCCAGGTACATGCCCTTGACCAGACTCGAACCTGGGACCCTTGAGTCCGTGGGCCGACGCTCTATCCACTGAGCCAAACTGGTTAGGGCGACAAATAAGTCTCAGAAAGGTTAAGGAGTTTGACTAAGGTCATAGCAAAAAGCAGAGGAAGGGATCAGGGAAGGCTGGAGAAGGCTGACATTGGATAAGCCATGTACAGAGGGAGTGAAGGGTATCCGGGCAGAGCACATAGGCCGTGATGTGGAGGCCCCATGAAAAGCTTGGCAGGGTTGAGTCTTTGGATTAGTAACAGATGAAGCCTCAGAGGTCAGCAGGCAGCAGGTCATACAGGAACTTGTTGACCATGCCAAGGCATTTGAACTTCATGAGGGTGGTGAGGAGCCTTGATGAGCAGATTTGTCTTCCAGAAAGCCAGTGAGTGCTGGTCGGATGGGAGCTGGCCTAGAGACAGGAAGCCCCACTCCCAAGTGTTTGCCTCCACTTCCTGGCCCTTGCTCTTCCTCCTGACCTTAGCCTGTGTGTTTCAGAGTGGCATCCCCTGCCAGTGCCAGCACCCTTCACGTTCTGAGCCGCTACAGCCGCTACACAAGCATCCTGGACCTGGACAACAAAACCCTACGCTGCCCCCTTTACAGAGGCACCCTTGTGCCCCGGCTGGCAGACCACCGCACTCAAATCAAGCGGGGCAGCACCTACTACCTGCACGTCCAGAGCATGCTCACCCAGCTCTGCTCCAAGGCCTTCCTCTACACCTTCTGCCACCACCTGCACCTGCCTGCCCACAACAAGGAGATAGAGGAGTTGGTTGCCAGCCGGCAGGCAAGCTTTCTGAAGCTGAATCTGGGTCTAGTGAATGAAGATGTCAAGGTGGTCCAGTACCTGGCTGAGCTGCTGAAGCTGCACTATATGCAGGAGTCTCCTGGGACCAGCCAGCCCATGCTCAGGTTTGACTATGTCCCCAGTTTTTTGTACAAAATCTGAGGTCAGTTCCAGCCACTGTGACTCCGGGCACAGGAAAGAGAAGGGTTGGCGTGACATGACCAAGCAGTCCTCTGAGCGGTTTAGACTTCTGGTGTCATAGGTGGGAAGGAAACCAAGGTGGCTTCAGGCAGCTTGCAAGTTGGACTTGGGCAGAGGGAGGAGCCTGGCTCTCTGAAAGCATCCAGGACAGTAACAGCTCTCTTGTCTCCCTGGTAAGGAATGGACCTGGAGGGAGCTCTTGGCCTCCCAAGGACTGGTAGCCAGGGCAGAGGAAAGCCTCAGTGGGGTGGGATGAGGGGCAGGAAGGCAAAGCCATGATGGGAGGACCATGTGGCCACGCTTATCTTCACTGAACACTTGAGTGGCAAAATCAAGTGGCACAGCCTGTTAACTGGAATGATTTCGTGGAAAACAAGAGGGTGGAATATCCGTTGTCTCATTCAAACCCCAACTGAATGGCCTCCTAGAGCCTGTCACCCAGGGGAGGCCCCTGAGTGAGGGGAGGGAGAAAGCTCTGCCCCCGCTGGGTGGTGGGGAATGTCAGCCTCCAGGCCGCAGTGCTGAGGGAGTGAGCAGCTCCCTGTCCCCATCCTCACTTCCTCACCTTGCACAGCATTCCCACAGGCAGCAGGAGAGAGTGCAGTGTCACTAGTCCCCAGTTGTCAGTGGGAACTGCTCTTTGAGGTAGAGAGCCCAGCCGGGGCCGAGGGGCCATGAAGCCATCACCACTGTGTGAGCGATGAAGAGCCAGCAGGGCCTGGCCCAGCAGTACTTTTGGCCAGAGTGAGTCAGCACTGTTCTCTCACCCAAAGCAAACCCTTGCAACCACTTCACTACCTCTCGCGGGGTCTCTCAAGCACGGGACAGCAGAGTTCTGTTCAGCTGGCTGGTGTGGGTGGGCAGCCCAGATGGTGGTGATTCGGGGCTGGGATTTCCTACAGGCAAGAGGACAGCTGTCTTCGTGGACCTGCCTGGCAGGTTGCACAGGCCTGGCGTGTGGGCACTTCATGGCAGCTACTTCTGCCCATGTGTGACTCCCACCTTCTCAGGAGATGTGCCCAGGTCCACCCACCACAACCTCCCTGAGCTTCTTACAGTTGCCACTGGTATGTAGATGGAGGGTTTCTTGCAACCTTGATAATTTTATACCTTTCTTTTAAAGCTGTTTTCCCCCCTAAGTAGGGAGAACTCTCGGTATTACTGCTTTTTAATTTGTTCCCACAAACTTGTGATAAAACAACCCTGAGCCAGTGACAAGTGGTGCTCCTGGGCACGTGTGCGTATCTACTGGGGCCGTGCCCTGCGTGCTGAGACCTGGTCTGCCTGTCAGTGTGGGGCGCACCATTGAAGTCAGAGGAGAGGCACCCCTCTGGTGACTAAGGAGGGTTTGCGTCCCATCACTCCTTTGGTCCCTTCCTCGCCCAGGTCCTCTGCACAGGATACGGCCCGTTGGCTCCCACCCAGCAGTTTCTGGCCAGTCCCCATTCCTGTCAGGGCAGGGATTTCCTCCAGAAAAGAGGAAGGCCTTCTCGCGTGGCTGTCTTTGTGGATGTGTGAGTTTGCCCCTGAGGCCGTGACTGAGAACTTTGGTGGTAATTGGTGTTGCTTACACTTGTTGGTTTCCTTGTACCTCCGGCTGTTGCATGTTCACACACAAGACGGCGCTCCCGGAGCTGCCGGCAGCTTTGACAGGTGAGGTGTTGGCCTGCGGGAAGGCTGCACAGGAAGCCTGCTTCTCGGTGAGCTCCGGGCCTGCGACCGGCTCCCCTCCTTCGTGGTCAAGATGCTGCTTTGTTTCTAACTGGGTGGCTAATTGCTGTCACTTAGGCCTCCAGGAGCATGAGCTCGTGCCATCTTACCTCCCAGGGGAGAAAGGCCTTAGGGTCCCAGGGACAAGATGGACAGTGACCACTGGCACCAGCACTGATGTCTCATTTCTGTTTCCCTCCGACACGGACTCTGGTTAACACTGTTCTCATTGGAAATGGGCATGGGCAGGGGAAACGGCCTTCTAGGAGCCCACCGCTGCGTCTGCCATAGCCGTCTGCTTTGGACGGTGTGTGCTCAGAGGCTTGGCCCCAAGGACAGTCCCGAAGGCCTGAGGACTACGGCCCGGCCGTGGCTGTAAGCAGGAGAGGCTGCTCCGCGGCGCGGGCCAGAGCACGGGAGCTGGCTCCGCACGGAGAAGCGCATTGGCCTCACTGAGGAGAGGGTGAACTCCAGGATTTAAATTTGGGTTAAAATCTAACTTTTCAGGGTGACAGTTTCAAAGGATTGCCTGATGCCCAGTGTATTTCTTTTCAAAGGGATGAAAGTGGCACTTGGGCTGGGAGGTTTGGGCAGAGGCGGTGGAGACTGAAGTGGGACCTACCAGATGCAGCTATAAAGGGTAATGGTGGGGAGCCCTCTGCAGCGGACTGATCATTTCTTCAAGAACTGTGGTTTGATGTTGTCCTGTAGTATAGCCCAGTGTTAATAAAACATTTACAAACACTTCCCAGACAATCAAGGACATCGGTGCCCCTATTAATTCTTTAGTCCCACAAAGGCCCAGGCACTGAAACTGAGTTTTCTTTACTTCCTTTACCTGCCTCCCTTCCCTTTGTCCATGCAGTCCCCGTCACAAAGCTGCCTGGGCTGCAATCACGTAGTGACCGCCAGGAGCTCCGTTAGTGCTCGGCTGAAGCGTCACAGCACCCAGCCTGAGCTGCTGCCTCCGTTTCCCCAGGGACCTTGCTCCTGTAGTGTGACCTTTGAAGTTTAGAAATTGTGACTTTTCCATAATTGACTGCAATGGCTGAAGTTATACACATTCCACCAGATTTGGAAATGGGCCATGGTAGCTCATCCTGTCATTTCCCATTTAGCTTTTAACTTTATTTCAGGTTATTGTATTCAAAGTATAGTAGACTTCAACCCCCAACAAACAACAAATCCCATTTCAAAATCCAAGGAAGGCCAATATTTCTACCCAAATGCCAGGCCTGTTGTGGTACAGTGACGTGTGTCTGGAGGCCAAGAGTGGTCTTGAAGATCTTGCCTTTGCACTGACCACCGCATGCCCCACTCCCTGGCCCAACGCTGCAGGGCAGGTCAGCTGCTGTTGCGTCATCTTTTACAGGTGGTGGCACTCAGCTGGTGGCCAGCCGGGGGTGGGGGGACTTTGGAGGCACTGATTCCCCAAGCTAGCAATCAGATGCTACCTCCTATTTCAGAAGAATGTGTTTTGGTTCGTGCTTTGAATCAAACCAGCCAGCTTTCTGAATTTTCTCCAATACTGTTGAAGTGAAAAAACTGGAATCTTTAAAAGATAAGGAAAAAGCATCAAGTTTCTGCTTCTGGCTAGAAACAAAAACGGTCTCAGCTGATAAGGCTGGAGCACACCAAGGTTTCCTGAGCCTTTCTCTGTTGAGCACTGACCTAACATGGCCTCACCTGGTAAGGGAGGCCGCAGGAGAGAGGGAATGGGCACTTTGCTGCTGGTGGGGAGCCCTGGCTTCTGGGGCTACACAAGGGGTCTTGGATATGTCCCTTTGTCTTCAGCTGGGGAAGAAACAAGCCCCTAAAGTTAAGCCTTTGAGCAGTGTAACAGCTCCCAGATTGAGGCATAGATGTGGGTACCCGCGTGCACTCACCCAGAGACTGCGCTGGAGCAATCGCCAACACACTGGACACTAGGCCACAGGTGCCTTCCAGGCGGGGCCACAGGGAGCCTCGGCCTCCGAATGCCCGGCGCTGCTGGCGGCTGCACAGTCGGGCTAAGAGAAGCCGCCTGTAAGGCTGCAGTGACAAGCATCGTCTGTGAGGAAATTTCGTTTGTTATTTTTGGAAAGTATTTTATTACTGCATGCTCTGTCCACGTCTGTGAATGGGAGTCTGACCAGCATGTGAGCTGCAGTCGTCCCAGTGGCGAGCAAGAGTATGACAGAGACCCGGTGACAGTGGCTCCCAGGTACGGTCGCACCAGAGTTCAACCAGAGCAAATGCCAAACAAACAGTACGAGAAGTGTACTTTTTAAGAAATTAATTTATTTGAGTTATTTTTGAAATATAAAAATGGGTTGTATTTTTTAAAGCTGTAATTCTTGTAGACATTCTGTGGTTAAAAATTTGTGCTTATTAAAAATGGTCATTTATGTTTTGCACCTCAGCTTTATGAAAAATAAAGTTTCTCTGGGAAGGTGACATGTAGCTTCTTGATCACAGGAGGGAGTTCTCTCGCAGGACGAAGGTCCCTGGGTGAGGCTGCGAACCCTAGGCGCTCCCACCTGCCCAGCTGCAGGGCGAAGACCACTGCCGCAGCGCGGGGCTGCTACTCGGAACCCGCGGCCTGGGGCACCTCTACGGGCATGTCTGACAGAATTCTGAGCCAAAGCACAGAGCAGAGGGGTCGGGTTTCCCTCTGCAGTTGTAAGGCCATGGTTCAGTTTCCTTTGCTGCCCCACCGGGAACAAGCTACAAGCTTGGGTGTTTTAGTTGCTGCAGTGAGTCAGAGGAAGCCCAGTAACTGAGAGAAGGGTAAGTAAAGGTCCTGGAATCATTGCACTAGCTCTGCCCTGCCCCACTGTCTCAATGAGTGAAGGCTAAGTAGGATTTCATTTTTACAGAGTAACTGTAACAGAGCTGTGAGAAAGGTTTAGATTTATACTCCTTAATAATTGGTCCCAGAATTACTAACAGTGGGGCTTTAGCAGATTTTGATTTGTGAAGATAACATGAGAAAAGTCCCAAAGAAACCTCTGCGGAGAGCACCCAGAAGCTGACCAGGCCCTGTGTGGGGTGGTGCTTCTCAAGGGCACTGTGTCCTTGGTCCTGACGCTCCCGGTGGGGCAGGTGCAGCCGGTGGCTCCTCTAAAAGTCCGGCAGGCCGGGCAGAGGGAAGAGAGACGCGAAGCTCTCCACCTCCTCCCGGAGGGCTCGGATGGCCCCACGGTGCCGCTCATCCCCTGCTAGCTTCTCCTTGAACTCCTTCAGGCTGGCCTTGTCCCCAGCGTCCTTCTGAATCTGCAGAGTCAGTTCTATCCCTGTGTGGCACATAAATGAGTCCTGTGGGACCAGGAAACACACCCAAGACCCAGATACCCCAGCTGGGGGGTGACAGCCGGAGGGATTCATGTTCACCCCAGAAATGATTCTTGTATGCACCCTCCGTGAGCAGGACAAGTTTACAAAGGTTTCAGATCAATGGTTTGCTAAGTGATTTCTGCTGTTGCCTGTCCCCAACACTCAGCCTTGACACAGAAGCGTCCCTCAGCGGCTGGGTCGCCACTGTTCAGAGACTCCATACACACAGTATGAGGTGTCAGACTTCCAAACCGATATCCTTACCTTTGTGAATAAAGTGGGCTACTTTCCGGAACTCTGTTTCCAGAAGTCCTCGGGACGTCAGTGCTGGGGTCCCCAGTCGCAGCCCACTGGGCCGCAGGGCGCTTCTGTCACCTTCAACAGAAACAGGCTCTGTACTTGGGCCGCACTCAAACTCACCTCTGACCACTGTGCGTTGAAAAGGGACCCTTGGGCAAAAGAACAGGCCTGCAGATGCCAGTGTGTCTGGTGAGAAGGGCACCGACTCCCGCAGGAGAGGCAGGAGCAAGGCGCAGGCAGCGGCACATTGAGGGCTCTGCTTTAACAGTAAGAAAGTCACCTTCTGTGACGTGGCCTTTGCTCCTAAAAACGAGGCCAGCCTCTGGGTTCGGATTGCATCACCATCCTCGTTAACAACCTACCGAGAGCCAGCCTGCTTTCCAGCGACCCGGCCTCCCTCCCTGAAAAGCCTTCTCACTTCTCAGCACCCCCTCGCCCGGTCCTGGCTGGAGCTGGGCGAGGCAGCCCAGGAGAACCCCCGCTGAGCTCCCACCCGCCAGGGCACAGGCATCCTTCAAGCATCTGAGCCAGTTCTCACAGCTCTAACAGCCCGGAAATGCAGACAAGCGTGGAAGAGAAGAGCGAGGAGGATTCTCACCTGGGCAGGTGTTCTTGTTGCAAGCAATAGAACAGGCTTCTAGCACCTTCTCCGCCCGGCCACCATCTGTGCCTTTGGAACGGAGATCCACGAGGATCAAATGGTTGTCAGAACCACCTGGAAGCCAAGTTGGACATGTAAGGATGCAGATGGTGACTCCATGCGAGTGGAGGAATTTCTCCTAAGAATGGGCTGGGAGGACGGGGCTGAAGCAGATGGGGCAGGACAGGGAGCCCCACCACGTGTCCTGGAAGGCTTCACTCGCCTCAAGGAAAGACGCTCAGGACCCGAGAGCTGAACAGAAAGGACCGAGTGGTGTAGGGTGCTCGGCGACACAGCGGCTGAGGCTGAGGGGAGAATGGCCAGCCTGCCCACTGCAAAGACCCAGCCACCGGCTGCCCGGCAAGGGTCTCGGCTGCCTGGGAGGGCCGCTCGCTCAGTGCTGCTCAGGATTCCGCCTTCTCTGACACATCACTGGGCAGTCCCTGCCCATCTCTGAAGCCAATCTTCCAGCTCCCTGCGAGGCAGCAGGGGGTGGTCCCGTTTACAGGACAGCGGGTACCCGCTCCCGCTGCTGAGCACGTGTTGGGTGCCAGCACTACTGGCTGTCATATCTGATCTCTACTCCTGCGAAGGGGATCGTAGCAGAGTGGTGCAGATGAAAATGGCGAGGCGACAAGAACATTCTGCAACTGGCCCAAGCGCCCAGAAGTCTTCCAAGTACAGTACCCGGATCTTTCCACTTTGAACTCTCATTAGTACCAAGTCACTGACTTGAGCAACAGCTGTGACTTCAAAGATGCCACAAACCAAGTCAGCGCTTACCTCTGGACCTTACAGCCCAAAGCTTAAGGCACAGTCCCCACAGCCTCCCACTTTCTGGCCGTGGCTTTAGGCAGGCAGCTCAGCATTGTGGAACCTCAGATGCCCATCTGTAACCTAAGACCAACAACATGCAAGGCTGTCGTGAGGCTGAAATGAAGGCCTGTGAATCGTGCTTGGCCAGCGCCAGGCAGGTTGGTACCAGACATGCTGGCTGCCATCAGTGACCATGACCGGCTTCAGTCTTCAGAGCAGAGTGAATGAGGGGCGAGGACAGGCCAGGAGCTCAGGAAGTGCGGGACTCACTGGAGGCTCTGAGCAGCAGGGCTGAGGGGGTGCCTGTATCAGACGGAGTTTGGCCTAAATCCTGGTGATGCCAACCAAGCCTGGCTCCCGCCCAGCATCACCTGGGAACTGGCGGGAGGCAGAGCCCGCCCAGGCCTGCATTAATATGCACATCCACGTTTGAGAAACTGACTTAGAGAACCTGGAAGGTCACAGGCCAGACAGAACCCTGGGGCTTTCTTCCCGGAAGATGTGGAGGAGGGAGGAAAACGCAAAGAAAGGAAGTGAAGGAAAGAGATGCTTCTCAGAGAACATGGCTGAGAACATGGCATTTGCCCAGCTCAGCTGCTCACTGGCCTAGTTGGGAGCCTGCTCCTCAGACAAGGGCCTGTAAAGGCAGCAGGCAGGGGCAGGCACCTGCATCCACAGGGGACCAGGACCCACCTTCCTGGGCCACCTCTGCTGGCACAGATGGCAGCCGGCGAGCCCAAGAAAGCTGCCCTTCCTCTCAGTAGCTAAGTACACTCACTGCCTGCCATCACCCGGGCCATGCTGACTCAGCCTGCAGGGACTGGGCACGGCCCCCGGAGCGAGCCCTCACCACCACGTCCAGCTCACTCAGGGCCACCATCTCTGAGTTAAGGCAAAGGCGCGCATAGTGGAGTCTGAACTCCCTGGCCTCCCGGCAGGTGGTCTACTGCACCGTGGCCCTTGGGGTGAGTGGGGTCAGTCCTGCAGACCATGCCAGGCACCGCTGTGGGGAAGGCCCTGGCGCTGCCACCCACCGTATGTGAGCGCAGTTCCCAGCCTCTCGGTGAGCTCAGGGACTCCTTAGGCCTCACTGGCCCAGCAGGGGAGGCAGCTGTCCCCGTGTGAGGAGGGGAAGGCTGCAGGGCACAGCAACGCCTCTGGAGGTGCCTGACTCACACCCCGCAGCCGCAGCCCAGGGCCCTGCTACAGCCACACCTGCCTGGATGAGTCAGAAGCAGCAGGGTCACAGCCGAGATAAGTGGGTGCCACCCAAGTTTCTGTTGTACCTGTTACTATTTTGTAGCCCAGCTCCGTCAGGGCCTCAGCCAGCGCCCTGCAGTTGGCCACCACCTGCTGCTGGTACACCCGGAACTCTGGAGTCATGGCCTGCTTCAGAGCCACGGCCACCCCTGCAGGGAGACAGGGGTCAGGAGACAGGACGGAGCACAACACAGGCTGAGACTCAGAGACCTGGCTCTGCTCGGGCTTGTTTTCCGCCGTCACGGAAAGGGGTGGATGACAGCCCCCAAATGGCATATGTTTCTAACCCTGCAGTGACCTGGCCACGCGGCCAGACATCTTCTGTTTGAGGATGTGCTTCTGAGGCAGCCTTTCTCCCAGGCGGGGGAGTTTGGTGCGGGTAAGCTTGCACAGGAGAGCTGTTCTAAGTGAGGCAGAGTTCGCAGGCGGTCCTCTCCGCTCCATAGATGAAAATGCTGCTTAAAGCTGGGCGTTGATGCCAAATCATGCAGCCCTTTCAGGTCAGATTCTAGGTGAGGGTGCAGGCCTGTGTTCAATCCTGCGGCTGCTTACAGGGCACAGAAACGGAGGAGAATGCAAAACGCATGTGCTGCGTCCCGCCAGAGGCTGCAGTCAGTGTGACGGAGGAAGAAACTGCAGATGCTGAGCTTGTGGGTACAAAATGGGACAGGAAAACACCCCGGGAGGTGCCGGGCCGCCCGCTGCCTGGTGCCCGACCTCCCCCCGCTGCCCCCCTCCCTCTGGGGAACACTAGTGCTTCTCATGGTGCAGGTTGGACCTTTGTCCTGGGCTCTCCTAGCAACTGCTTTGCTCCAAAGAAGAGAGTGGAGTGACTGAGGTCGTCACAGGTTTTCTGAGCCGCTTGTACTAAGAGGGAATGAGTCAGGACTGCTTGCTGGGGTCCTGGAATCGAGTCCAGGAGCCACAGGTGCGGACGCAAGGCCAGCGGTGCTAGGACCCGATACAGGTGCCCCTCCCCCACAGGTCAGGGGAGAGGCATTTTGTCCTTGCTAGGCCCCTCCCTTTGCCACGCCTCTTCCAGCTGTCAAATCCTCCCCTGTTGTTTCTTAAAGAGAGCTCCACACAGACCGGCCGGGCTCAGCTTCCCCGAGGGGTGGCCACACGTGTCCCTGCCTTGTGACAGTCCCGTTTCCCTGGGCTTCCTTGTTAGCATCTCCTAGACGGGGGCGTTCCTCTCGTTTCTCCCCAGCGTGGAAGTCCTGGCATGACTCCGGTGGATAGGTGAGGGGGAGTCGGGCCACAGCGAACAGAAGGGGAACTGCGGCATGGGGGCTGCTGTGGGTGAAGGGACGGCCTCCGAGGCTGGGGGGGGGGAGGGGGTTCCTGGAGGTCCTACCAGCAATGGCGTGGTTGTGGGGCCCGCCCTGCAGCCCTGGGAACACAGCAGAGTTGATGAGCGACTCCAGGTTGTACAGAATCTCTTTGCCGGTTTTGGGGTCCGTGCTGCGCACTCCTGGATGAAGAAAAAGATCAGAATGGGAACCACCGATGGGCTGTTTTCTCCGCCTGGACTCAAACCCAGACTGCGGAGCTGTGGGGCGCTCCTCCTGGAGGGGAGACCTGCACGCCATGCTGCGGGCAGAGGGCGCTGGCTGCCAGGTGGGCAGCCTACCCTTTCACACATGGAATGAAATGACGAACATTTCCCTCCAGGAGACCGTCACAAAGAAAATGCCTTGGGCATATCTCCTCAGAGAAGTGCCAGAGAGCGCTCTGCCAGGATGACCACTCTGAGGAGATAAGACTCATGTGGCTGGAGACGGGGACTACGGCTCCCCTGGGGAAGAGGTTACTAATCAGCACTAGCAGCACTGATGTGTGCAGAGCACGGCTCTCAGCACTTTGCCTGCGTTAACCCGTTACATCCTCACCACAGCCGGCCAAGGCAGGCGCTGCGGCTGGTCCTGCCCCGGCGCTGAGGGAGGGGCACAGGCTCACCGCTGGCCCCAGCTGGCCAAGTCGGCAGCCATCGCCCAGGCGGGAGGAGGGCGACCTGCCCCAGACACCTCAGTGCACGGAAAGGACCACAGGGTGCAGAGGCGCCCACTGTAGGGTGGCCGGGCTGGGCCGGGGAGGAGCTGCTGACGGGGTTCGAGAGACCCTGTCTCCCGAGGGTGGCTTCTCTGCGGACGCCAGGCCCCTGCACAGGCCCACATGGCTCTCACATGTGGGAATCCCAAAATATGGGGGGCGTCCACACACATGTGGGCTGGAAGCATCCCATTACTGGAGAGAGAAACTCCTTACTGCAATGATAAACGGCGCTATGACTTGTACATCGAGGCCTTACAGCTTGACTACTACTGGGAGTCTTTCTTTAGAAGAAACATGGCAAGTTCACCAAAATAATTCTGTGCCGGCGCCCCTGGGTGCCTTGGCCAGCCGTGCACGTCTTCCTTCCCCTCCGGCACCTGCCGCACCAGGAGGCCGCCCGGCACGATGCCCTCCCCCTCCCCCGGGGCCCACAGCTGCGCTCCGGGCTTCCCTCCAGGTCCCCTGAACAGCGGTCATTACCCCTAAGTAGCTCTTTCAGACCCTCATGTCTTCAAGGCATCCCAGGCCGCAGTCTCCCCAGCCCCGTAAGCGGATGTGAACACCAAGGAGAGGAGCCGGCCCCTCCCGCACAGCCGCCCGCACCGAGGAGCACACCTCGCCTGTAGAAGATCATGCCCGCGCGGCAGCCTCGCAGGGTCTTGTGGGTGGTGGTGGACACCACGTGGCAGTGCTCGAAGGGGGAGGGCACCACGCCAGCCGCCACCAGCCCGCTGATGTGCGCCATGTCGGCCATGAGATACGCCCCGTTGTCATCGGCAATCTTCCGCAATCGAGCGTAGTCCAGGTTTCGGGAGTAGCAGCTGGTTCCTAAGATGGCAAAAGAGACCCCATAGTCAGAGATACCCACAGCCAACTGCGGCCGCGGCACGGTGGCCCCGATCTGCACATCCGACAGCCTGGAGGCTTCTCCCTCCACAATCGGAGGACAGAAATGAAGGATGTTCTTGAAAAACATCCGGTGTCAAGGCAGCCACTCTGATCTCTGCCTCTTCCATGCCCTGGGGGTGGGACGGCCCCCACCCCCAGCCAGTCAGGGATTAACATTTCTAGATGCTTCTCCGGGACAGCCTCGGACCTATCCCACAGGCGGCTAATTGTGGCAAAACGGACATCTGTCCTGAGAGAAGGGTGCACTTGGACCCAAGCGGCTCAGCCATCCAGGCAGAAACCAGCAGTGAGCAGGACGGGCGAGGACTGGGAGCTCCCACCGCAGCTTCCCGCCGTTCACCCCCGCGGCAATGAGGTTCCTCACCTGCGATAATGAGCTTCGGGTGGAAGAGGCGGGCGTTTTCCTCCAGCTGGTCGTAGTTGATGTAGCCAGTGTCGGGGTTCACCTGTAGGAAGCCACGGACACGCAGGCTCAGGCGCCTGCACCCCTCCCCGCGGCCCTCCCCCGGGACTGGCGCTGGCCGTCAAGGGTCAGGCAACTCCTTCCACCTGCCCAAAGCTGCCTGCTCCTCTCTGCCATGAAGACAGGAAGGTGCCCAGGCCAGGCTTGAGGGTGAGGTGGGGGACCCTCATGTGGCATGCCCCTGTGGTGCCAACAACCAAGTCTCACTCACAGACCCACCAAGCCCCGAGGGTTCCGGGAAAGTGAGCCGCCCCCCCAGGGTCTCCTGGGTGAGAAGGAACTAGGAAGCCACTGCGGAGCCACAGGAGCGAGGCGAGCGAGCACCCCGCATGCGGGCGCCGAGGCGGCGCTTTCAGGAAGGAGCCAGCGGGCCCACCGACGGCTCCTCAGTCGCAGCCCAGGGAGGCCCCAGAGAAAGTCGTGGGCTTAGAAAGCCTCAGAGCTGACCTCCCTCACTGCTTGTAAACCTAGGACATCCAAGACTAGACGCAGCTACCAGACCTAGGAACTGCATTTAGTGAGGCACTGGATGTAGGATCGAAAGCCAATTAAAAAAATCAATTAAAAAGTCAATTGTATTTGTATCTATGAGCAGCAAAAACCAGAAAATGGAATGTTAATAATTATATCATTCATTCGTTTCAAAAGCCGTAAAATATCGAACAAAAGGTGGGCAAGACCGCTACCCAGAGCATTATTGAGAGAAATGTGAGAGCACTCCAAGTGACGGGATGAAGGCTGTGCGTGGAGGGCAGCGTGGCAGCAGGGCGGGCGCGGAGAGCCGGCCGGACAGGCCGCCGCCCAGGCGGTGCGGGGCTGCAGGGCAGCGAGGCCTTCCAACGCATGGCGCGAGGTCAGCCGGATGCCTACCGCAGCCACCGCTGGCCTCCAGAAACCAATTCAATTCCAGATGGAGTGCAGATGGTAAGACACCTTTTCTCTTTTTTGGCAGCACGTTTCTTAGTAAGTTCAATTTATTAAAGTTATGTTAAAGCATTTATGCTAAGGGGAAGTAAAAATAGTCACCCGGCCGGTGTGGCTCAGTGGTTGAACACATCCCAGGCACCAGCTCAGGGTTTGATTCCCAGTCAGGGCACACGCCCAGCCTGTGGGCTCGGTCCCCAGTGTGGGGTGTGCAGGAGGCAGCCGATCCGTGTTTCTTTCTCTTGGATGTTTCTCTCTCTCTCTCCCTCTCTCTCTGAAATCAATAAAAACATATTTGAAAAAAAACCTCAGGGGTTACTGTGGAAAAGACTTGGGGGTGGGGGCATGGGAGCCCCCAGGGAGGAGGCGGTGAGAACCTTCTCCTGTGGAAGCCCCGCCCCACGGAGGGAAGGGTTTAGGGTTAGGTGGGCACCTTTCCACATAAAAAAATGCTTTCAGTTCAACACAATCACAGATGTGTGTGGGCCAGGGGTTCCACCTGGGAACCAAGGGGTCACCTGGAAAGCAGGCTGAAAGGCGATTTGTGGCTTTGTTGTGTGTTTTGTTTTAAGGATGCAGCTGATTGTTTCTTAGTCACCTAAACTCAGCAAAGAAACTGTTAACTGAAAAATCAATGGCTGATCCACGTTAAAAAAATGGACATTCTATAAAATTTTAGAGGACATAATTACCCAAAAGAATCAGTTGCTATTCTCTCCCTGCACATTTTGCTTTTGAAACTTGTGAGATATTTTTTAAGTGTTTTTTTTTTTTTGGTTTGTTTTTTTAAATTTCAAAAATTCGGCAATAAAACAGCTCCTGGAAGGATTCACAGGCATGTAACCACTGCCCTGTGGCCAGAGCAGAGTGGAGGCCTCGGACGGGAGGGAAGGAGCCCCTCCAGGCACAGGCCCAGCGAGAGGAGGTTCTAGTCGCGGGGAGAGCGACAGCAGGTGCACGAGCCAGCTGTTTCTCCATAGAGATGGATGGCCTGGCCCAGTGATGGGCGGAGCCTGGTGTGAAAGTCCCAGGGGGCAGGGCTCAAGGGCTGGGCAAGAAAGCAGCCTGATGGGTAACAGTTGCTGCTGAAGGCCCATCAGGTCTGTGTCCTCCTGCCTGACCACCAAGGCCAGTGCCCACAGCCGCCCTCCAGCAGGTGAGCCGGCCAAGCTGGCCAGGGTCCCGGTCCCAGCCACTCCACACCCCACAGGCCCACCACTGGGCTGGCCTCCGTGTGTCCACGGGACTGCAGCCTGCACAGTGCGTATCAAAGAAGAGGGTGGCTGTGGGGGTAACTGGGGTGCAACCCAGGCTTGCTAATGCCAGGAAGACTTCAATAACAGCAGACACTGGGCTACAGAGCAGGAGGCTCCCCGAAGGCCCCCCTGGAGGCTGAAGAACAAGCCCGTGGCTCCTCTGCCACCACGCTTTCCCTGGCGAAAGAAACCCGGAACCGGCTTTTGTGCTCAGTGCAGACAGAGCATGTATTACTACTGTCCCATTTCCACGTTCAAGGTCAGCACTGCCAATGCAGACACCGTCACTGGAAACACCAAGGCTTCCCATGGAAAGCAATGAGCCAGCACGTGCACTCAGAGCATGTGCCCTGGCCGGTAGCTCAGTAGGTCAGAGCACAGTCCTGATACGCCAAGGTTGCGGGTTTGATCTCTGGTCAGGGCACAAACAGGAAGCAACCAGTGAGTCACACGTAATGAAACAAATCGATGCCCCCTCCTCTCTCTCTCTCCCCTCAAAATCAATGAGAAAAAAAAAAAGGTGTGTGCAATGGCTAGAACTGAGACAAAGGCTAATAAAACAGCAAACAGCCCTAGCCAGTTTGGCTCAGTGGATAGAGCGTTGGCCTGCGGACCAAGGTTCCCAGGTTCAACTCCGGTCAAGGGCACGTGCCTTGGTTGCAGGCTCTTCCCTGACCCGGGCCCTGGTCAGGGCGCGTGCAGCAGGCAACCAATCGATGTGTCTCTCTCACATTGATATTTCTGTCTTCCACTCTCTCTAAAAATCAATGGAAAAATATCCTTAGATAAAACACACAACAAAACAGCAAACATTAAAGGATATGCACCAATCTGAAAACGCCGAGAGAGAGAGAGAGAGAGAGAGAGAGAGAGAGAGATATCAATGGCTTGTTTTTGCCTCCGCAACTCCTGACTGGGGATCCAGCCCCAACCGGGCATGTGCCCTGACCAGTTCGTAGGTCAACGCTCACTGAGCCACACCGGCCACAGCTCTTTCTTTTTTTCTTAAATATGTTTTTGTTGTTAGTCCTCACCAGGGGATATTTTTTCCATTATTTTTCAGAGAAAGTGGGAGGGAGGAAGGGAGAAACATTACAGCGATGTGAGAGAGACACACCGACTGGTTGCCTCCTGCATGCGTCCCAACGGGCGTGGGGACTGAACCCAAAACCCAGGTACATGCCCTTGACCAGGAATCGAACTGTGCGCACAGGCCAACACTCTAACCACTTAGCTCCAGCCAGGGCTAAATATGTTTTTATTGTCTTTTGTGTTTTTTGTTTGTTTTTAGAGAGAGAGGGGAAGGGAGAGGGGGAGAGAGAAACATCAACTGGTTTCCTGCACACTGCGACCAGGGATTGAACCCAAAGCCTGCGTATGTGCCCTGACCAGGATCACCTCTCAGTGTACAGGGGACACTTCACTGAACCACACGGTCCAGGCAGCTTGATTTTCTTAAAAGGATAAAATTATGTGTCTGATATTCAACCATGTGGAATAGTGCATGGCTGCCTTTGCTCTGATGGGACGAATGAAAGGAACCAGGGACGGCCCACTGACTACGGGCCGCGAGGAGAGTCCGGGCACAAGGAGAATCAGGTGCACAGGGCGTACCATGAGCACGTGTGCAAGTCACCTCTTTGTACCATCTCTCTACTCATCGCCACGGCGAACTCCCTGCGCCCCTCAGGAGCCCACGGATCTCACATGCAGCTACACTTTTATTTATTTAATTTAGAGAGGGAGGGGGAGAGACACTGACTGTTGTCCACCCATTCATGCACTATTGGTTGCTCCTGTATGTGCCCTGATTGGGGATGGGACCCTCACCCTTGGCATATCGGGATGATGCTCTAACCAACTGAACTACCCAGCCAGGGCCTGACATGCTTTTTTTTAACGAAACTGTTTATAATGACAAGGGCCCCACATAAATGTGCTGGTCCCGCAACGGGCATCGGGCCTGGCTCAGGAGGCTGGCGAGGTGCTGGTGGGCGCTGCTGGCGGCGGGGGGAGTCCGCTGCACCTGCTGTCACTAGGGGTCCAGCTGGGGCACCTGTTTGTTGGGAGCTGTCACTGCCCCTCGTTCTGGAGCAGCTGGCAGCCCTGCTGTGGCTGGGCAGTTGCCTCCCCAACCACCCCCAGCCTGCCCTGCATGCCTGAGGAGTCCCCAGGGCAGGGAAATGACAGATGGTGAGAGTGGGGACTTCTCCTGGTGCAGCCACACACTGGCGGCTTCCTGAGGAAACGGACTGTGGAGCTGTGGAGAGAGGGGCACTCTTACCTTATAGGGCATAGATTCAAAAAAGATGGATGTAGCAGAGATTTTCTTCTTGTCCGTCATGAACCCGTGGGTCAGGTGGCCTCCGTCGGGCAGGTCCAGGCCCATGATGCGCCCGTGGGGTTCCACCAGGGCGGTGTACACTGCGAAGTTGGCAGGGGAGCCTGGACCGGGCAGACCAGAGGGCGTACAATTGCTTCTGCCCGTGCGGCACCTGGCAGGACCCCAAGCTCAGCCACTAGGCCATCCACCAGCAGTGGCCACCATGGAACAGAGTGAGATGCTCTGTCTCTGGCTCCATCAGGTTCAAATCTGTGTGGCTCCCATGGCCTTCAGGCTAACAGCCTGCTCCGGACATGCCGATCACTAGAGGACGTCTGCGGGGCCTCAACTCTGCTTTCTTAACATGGGTTTGAGGGTTAGGGCCCCATCTTCTCGATCAACAAATCTTTCCTTACTCCACACTCTGAGTTTTAGCCTTTCAAAGTGTGGGGCACGCGACTTTGGACTGGAAACAATGCTGCATTCCTCGAGCCCCCAGAAGTCCCCCCACACCAACCCCTTTGAGAGTGAGGGAAGGGGCGGGTCAGACAGGGCACTATCCTTGAGGGGCGCGAGGAGCGGGAGCCAAGGACATGGAGAAAGACAACCACGCCAGGAGGGGCTTTTCCTAGCTTCTGTGTATGGGCAGTCCTTCCGAGGCTCCTCCCCATGAACACTGGCCAGGCCTCCCTGGACCTGGTAGGTAGTTACCCGAGTAGGGCTGGACGTTGACCCCCCAGCACTGGGGGTCCAGACCGTAGACCTGCAGCGCTCGCTTCTGACAGAGGGTCTCCAGCTCATCAACAAACTCAGTCCCGCCGTAATACCTGCGTGAGAAGAGCAGGAGACTCAGGACCGCTCTGGCAGAGGCCGAAGAACCTCGCGCAGGACGGAGCAGGAGTGCAGCCCTGGTGGGAAGCCACAGGACTCGCCTTCTCAGCGCCCCGCCTTCTCAGTGCCCGCTCCGACACTGCGTTAGTGTCTCCTCATCGACGAGGAAACTGACGTCAGCTGCAGGGCCAACCTCGCATGAGCACTGTGCTAAGTGAAACACGCCGTTTCAGCACTGACTGCCCCTTACGTAAGGGGCCAAGAGCAGTCACATTCACAGAGACAGAATGTGCAATGGTGGTTGGCCAGGGGCTGGGTGGAGGGAGAGGTAGAGGGTTTTTGCATTTCTAATAAAATTTTACTTCTCACTGAATAATAACATATCAAAATTTCTCATATATTTATGTTTTTTATTGATATACATACTAATAATCATAACTCAATCCAGAAGAAATTTTTAACACTGAGGCCTTGTGGTCACAAAAAGCTTTGAAATTTTTTAAATTAAATGTTTACATTTTTAAATTATAATAAAAGTCACATAACATAAAATTTACCATCTTAACCATTTTTTAAAAAATATGTTTTTATTTATTTTTAGAGAAAGAAGAAGGGAGAGGGAGTGAGAGAGAAACATTGATGCTCCTGCATGCTCCCCCACGGGGACTGAGCCAGCAACATGGGCATGTGCCTCCATCGGGAATCAAACCAGCGACCCTTTGGGGCATGGGACGATGCTCAACCAACTGGGCCACACCATCGTGACCATTTTTAAGCACACAGTTCAGTAGTGTTAAGTGCCTTGTGTTGATAAGTACTCACATTGTTATACAGCAGATCTCTAGAACTTTTTCATCTTGCAAAACTGAAACTCTACACCCGCTGAACAACTCCCCATTTCTCCCTCCCCCAGCCCCTAGGAACCACCATCTAGTTCCATTTCTATGGTGTGACTACTCTAGGGACCTCATAGAGATGGAATCATATAGTATCTGTCTTCTTGTGACCAGTTTATTTCACTTCGCATAATGTCCTCAAGGCTCATCCTTGCAGCATGTGGTAGGAATTCCTTCTTTTTTTATTGTATGTACTCGAGGCCCGGTGCACAAAATTTGTGCGGGGGATCCCTCAGCCCGGCCTGCACCCTCTCTCAATTTGGGACCCCTTGGGGGATGTCCAACTGCCGGTTTAGGCCTGTAGGATCAGGCCTAAACTGGCAGTTGGACATCCCTCTCACAATCCGGGACCGCTGGCTCCTAACTGCTTGCCTGCATGCCTGCCTGATTGCCCCTAACCCCTCTTCCTGCCTGCCTGATCGCCCCTAACCATTCTGCCTGCCTGCCTGATGCCCCTAACTGCTCAGTTGCCTGCCCGATCGCCCCTAACCACTTGCCTGCCTGCCTGATCACCCCTAACTGCCTCTGCCTCTGCCCCTGCTGCCAAGGCTTAGTCCAGAAGGTCGTTCGGCTGTCCAGTCTAACTAGCATATTACGCTTTTATTATTATCGATAGACCACCTTTGCTTATCCACCTGTCCATCAATGGACACTTGGGTTGCTCCGATATGTTGATTACTGTGACTAATGCTGTTATGAACATGGTGAACAAATATGTTTGATTCCCTGATTTCAATTCTATTGGAATATACACTGAGTGGCCAGATTATTATAACCACCTGACGTTCGTAGGCAAATTAGCTATAATTTCGCACTGAAGTTGCTAGAGGGCCAGACCATTATAAATAGGGAAGCAGGTTGTTTACCACAACAGAAGTGATTTTTTTATGAAGATATGGGTAAACAACGCGATTTAACAGCCTTTGTACGTGGGATATACACACATACTGAGTGGCCAGATTATTATGACCACCCCATCAGTACTTCATTGGGCCACCTTTTGCCTTCAATACTGTGGCGATTCTTCTTGGCATTGACTCCATGAGATGCTAAAATGTGATGCGAGGAACCTGACACCATGCCTGATGAATAGCACTGTCCAGTTCTGTGAGATTTGATGGTTGTGGAACCAGCTGCCTGGTGGCTCTTTTAACTTCGTCCCACAAATGCTCAATTGGATTGAGATCTGGTGATTGTGGGGCCACCTAAGCAAGGTAAAGTCTCCCTCATGTTCTTGAAACCACTCCTGTACAATACGAGCTCTGTGGCATGGCGCATTGTCTTGTTGGAAGAAGCCGTCTCCATTGGGATACGCCATCAACATGATAGGATGAACCTGATCAGCAATGATACTTAGGTATGTTGTGCTATTCAGACGTTGTTCTACATGAATTAAAGGGCCCAAACCATGCCAGGAAAACATGCCCCAAAGTATAACACTGTCCCCACCAGCTTGAAGGGTTGTACTCATGCATGTGGGGTGCATGCTTTCATGCTGTTTCTGCCAAATTCTCACTCTGCCATCTGCATGATGCAACTGGAAATGTGATTCATCGGACCACATGACTTTTTTCCAATGCTCGACTGTCTAATCCTTGTGTTCCTGTGTGAATTGGAGACGTTTTATCTTGGTAACTGCAGACAGCAAAGGTGTTCGAACAGGCCTTTGGCTTCCATATCCCATAGGATGCAGTGTACGGCTAATTTGCCTTCAAATGTCAGGTGGTCATAATAATCTGGCCACTAAGTGTAGTGTATACCAGAAGTGGAGTTGCTGGATCATATAATTATATTTTTCATTTTTTGAGGAACCTACAAACTGTTCCACAGTGACTGCACATTTTACATCCCTACCAACAGTGCAGCTATTCTCACCAACACTTGTTTGTGTGTGTGTGTGTGTGTGTGTGAGTGTGTGTTTCTATAGTAGCCATTCTAATGGGTGTGAGGGAATAGCTCATTGGGGTTTTGATCCGCATGTCCCTGATGTTCAGTGATGTTGAGCACCTGGTTCATGTGCTTGCTGGCAAGAGTTACAGTTTAATGGGTACAGAGTTTTGTTTATGCAAAATGATAAAGTTCTGGAGATGATGGTGGTGATGCTTGCACCATATTGTGAATGTGCTTAATGCCACTAAACTGCACATTTAAAAAGGAAAATTTCCTTTTACCACAATAAGGAAAAAGATGAATGAGGGGTTTTACTCACAGTAAGGCAGGTTAGTAGGAAACTAGGAAAGTTCCTTGGCAAGTGGGCTGGGGAAGCTGAGACAGCGAACTGAACAAACTGGCCAGCAATCCACAGCAGATACAGACGGTCGGCGGGGCACAGAGCCCGGGTGACTAGCAATGGGCAAGACTGGTGTGGACCTTCCCCAGGGCGGCCTTTCCTCCCCTGGCATATTGCTGGTCATGCAGTTTAAACCCCTTGCCCTGGGGCAGACCAATCAGTGGAGCCATGACCCTGAAAGGGTTTAATTCCTCCCCTAAAACCTCCCCTAAATGCCCAGCCTTTAAAACCCTCAAGAGGAAGGACCCAGCCTGCACTCTCCCTCCCAGGAGCGCCCATGCCTTTCCCTTCCCCTCTACCCCTCACAGGTGGGCACCTCCTACACTCCACGGGACCCCACAAGACTTACAACCAGGGGAGCAATGGGCAGCGGCAGCTCGTGCCGGGCTCACTCTCCGATCTGATCCTGTCTCCAAGGCCCCTTTCTCTGACTTCTTTTTTTTTTTTTTTAATTAAATCTTTATTGTTCAGATTATTACATTTGTTCCTCTTTATTTTCCCCCCATAACTCCCCTCCTCCCAGTTCCCGCCCCACCCTCCGCCCTCACTCCCCACCTACTGTCCTCATCCATAGGTGCACGATTTTTGTCCAGTCTCTTCCCGAATCTCCCACACCCCTTTCCCCCCCAGGAATAGTCAGTCCATTCCCTTTCTAAGTCCCTGATTCTATTATAATCAACAGTTCATTCTGTTCATCAGATTATTTATTCACTTGATTCTTAGATTCACTTGTTGATAGATGCATATTTGTTGTTCATAATTTGTATCTTTACCTTTTTCTTCCTCTTCCTCTTCTTAAAGGATACCTTTCAGCATTTCATATAATCCTGGTTTGGTGGTGATGAACTCCTTTAGCTTTTCCTTATCTGTGAAGCTCTTTATCTGACCTTCAATTCTGAATGATAGCTTTGCTGGATAAAGTAATCTTGGTTGTAGGTTCTTGGTATTCATCACTTTGAATATTTCTTGCCACTCCCTTCTGGCCTGCAAAGTTTCTGTTGAGAAATCAGCTGACAGTCGTATGGGTATTCCCTTGTAGGTAACTGAGTTTCTTTCTCTTGCTGTTTTTAAGATTCTCTCTTTATCTTTTGCTCTTGGCATTTTAATTATGATGTGTCTTGGTGTGGTCCTCTTTGGATTCCTTTTGTTTGGGGTTCTCCGCGCTTCTTGGACCTGTAAGTCCATTTCTTGCACCAGGTGGGGGAAGTTTTCTGTCATTATTTCTTCAAATAGGTTTTCAATATCTTGCTCTCTCTCATCTTCTGGCACCCCTATAATTCTGATGTTGGTACGCTTGAAGCTGTCCCAGAGGCTCCTTACACTATCCTCGCATTTTTGGATTCTTTTTTCATTTTGCTTTTCCAGTTGGGTGTTTTTTGCTTCCTCGCATTTCAAATCATTGACTTGATTCTTGCGCTCCTCTGGTCTGCTGTCGGGAGTCTGTATAATATTCGTTATTTCAGTCCGTGTATTCTTAATTTCTAGTTGGTTCCCCAATATAAGATCAAGGGTCTCATTAATTTTCTTGTAGATCTCATTAAGTTTATCGGCGGCTTCTAAACAGTTCTTGAGAGACCTTAAAAGTGTGGTTCTGAACTCTATATCTTCCCATTGACAATTTTGTCCTGTTTCTTTGTCTCCGCATTTTGTTATGCTTCCTTGGTGCACCCCCTAGTGGTCTTTGTTCACAGTCTTATAGTTAAATCTTGATTGTTGTAGCTAATTCCAGGGAGGGTTTGACCTCCAGGCCAAGTGGCTATGAGAATCAGCTGTGTCAGCAGTGAGAGAACTTCTGTCCTCTAGGGAGGTGCTAATCTAGCCTTTGCCTGAGGCTATCTGGCAAATGCCTGTGTGCAGGGCTTGGGCGGGGAGGGTCGCACAGGATCAACAGGGTGGGCCGGAGAGAGCAGTTATGGCGGCTCTCAGTCCTGTCCCCAGGGGCTCTGCCTCTCTGAGTCCCAGCACCCGCTGCAAACCTCGAAGGGAAAGCTGCACTCGCTCTGACCGAAGCCAGACAGTCCCGCTTCTCCCGTTTGAGTCTGGGTCCCTAGAGACTCGCCCGGATCTGGAGCTCAGAGTCTGTGACTCCCTCCCGATTGAAAACGCCAACCGCGCCCTCCGCCGCCAGCCCGCTCTGCGCACTCCGCACCTCAGAATTTGACTTCAGCACTGCGCCTCCTCTGAGTGTCCGTATGCGTTTCTCTTTCCTCCTAGTTGTAGGACTTCCACTCAGCCAGCGTTCCTGTGGTTCTGGGTGATGTCCCTTCCGTTTTTTGGTTTCACTTTTGAAGTAGTTGTTCAAAGCAGCAAACTCCGGCGTTAACCTATGCTGCCTTCTTGGTTCCTCTCTCTGACTTCTTAGTGAACCAGAGCACCCCACCCAGGCTCTCCTGCTGCTTCTACCCCAGCCCCTTCCTTGTTGCACTGCCCCAGCTTTAATAAACACCCTCTCAAAGTCACATGGACTCGTGGTGTGATGTCTTCCCTGCACCAAGTCAAGAACCACGCACTCCGGCCGGCCCTAGGCTCAGCCCACTTTCCGGTAACAACACTTCTGATGTCAAATGTGAGGGGCTTTTTCCTCACACCATCCAGTCCTGACACTGACCAACCATCCGACAACTCAATTCAGCTCTGACCGACTAGCTGGGGCAGCCCAGCCCCTGAGGCTAAGGGCTCAGCCCCCCAGGCCGTCCCACCTCAGAGGCTGTCACGATGGCTGGTCCCCAGGTTGCTCACTTCTGTCTGACAAACTCTGGGATTCCTACAACCCCCTCACGTTCAATAACTCACCAGAGTGACCCATGGAACTCAGGACAGCACTTTACCTACTATCACTGGCCAGATGCATGCGGCACGGTGCGGGGCAGGGTTAGGGTTAGGGCTCCCGGGCCTCCCCAGGCCGGCCCCTCCCAGCACCTCGGCCGTTCCCCGCGCTGGGTTCCACAGGCTTCCTCGTGAGGTGACTGATCAAACCTCCGGCCTGTGGCGGTGAACTCGGCTTCAGCCCGCTCAGCATGCCTTGGCCTCTCTGGCCCCAGCCCCACCCTGAAGCCGTCTAGAGGCCCACCTAGGGTCACCTCTTAACATAAACTCAGGTGTGTTCATTACGGACAAGACATCCTATCACCAGATTCCAAGAGTTTTAGGAGCTCAGGTGCCAGAAACCAGGGACAAAGACCAGATGTTTCTTATCAAACCACAACTGGAAAGCATCTGGACCCAGGCCCAGCCCCACTACCCGTGTGCAAACTTGAAAAGTCACCGAATCTTAGTGAGTCTTCGCTCTCCCATCCTTACAGCATGGAGCACAGCCCCCCTTTCCCTACAGGGCGGCCATGAGGATCCAATGAGATATTAGTTGTGAAAACACCCAGTGACCTCTGACCTCCTCAAGGTACAATGCAAAAGCTAGTCATTCACAGCAGAAGAAACACAAGCCCTACTGTAGGGCGCCGCTATAGGGTTAAGCCTCAGGCTGACCTGTGGGAAAAGCCACAAACAAGTCCCAGCTTAGAGGGCACAGCCCTCTTAGCATAATTAGGCTTGACCTTATGACGCTCCCTAGATCTTATCTGAGTAGCTAATGGGCTGAGGGAGGTGCAGCAAGTGCTGCCAAAACAAGTGAAACTCACAAGAACATTGTAACTATGGTGACCACTACCTTGTTTACCTCTGGCTATAAAATAAAGGCTCAGCTTGCTGTCAGATCTCTCTCTGTGGCTTCAGCCAGGCACAGGAAGATCCACCTAGACCCAGCTTATTCTGTCTGTCTCTTCTTCATCCTTCGCCGCCCCGCCTCAGGCTTGTGAACCCTTGGCTGAGGTGGCTGGGCACACCTACTCTGGTGTCTGGCCATTCCACAGAGAGCTGCAGAGTAAGTACCTCAGGGTAGAGTGCGTTCAGCTCCCAGGGCGACCCTTCTTTTCCTGTGTCCTTTGGGACACAAAAATACAAATTTGCAAAACCATATGTCAGATGCTGTAATCATCACTTTGTCTGGTGATGACTGTAAAAGAGGTAACTTCTCAGGGTTCTCCGGGTGAAGGAGTTGACCCAAATCACTGCCCACGTCAATCCAACATTCATTCCGGCAGCAGGTTCAGTGTCCACTTCTGAGTCCCTCCTGAAGCCGCGTTGATTATTCACACGCAACAACCCCTGCCCCTAGCATCACTCAGAGTACTTGCTGACCTTGTTCTAGGGCAGCGGTTCTCAACCTGTGGTCGCGACCCCTTTGGCGGTCGAACGACCCTTTCACAGGGGTCGCCTAAGACCATCCTGCATATCAGATATTTACATTACGATTTATAACAGTAGCAGCGCTACTGAGCGTTATTACAGTTTTGAAGTAGCAACGAAAATGATTTTATGGTTGGGCCACAACATGAGGAACTGTATTTAAAGGGCCAGAAGGTTGAGAACCACAGTTCAGCAGCTCCGCACTCCTCTCTAGGGACTGGCCTGCTCGTCAGGGAAGCCGCGCAGGGGCTGTCAGTGACCCTGAGCGTAGCTGCTCTGGGACATCGGCGCTGTCACCGATGGGGTGACATGGGTGTGTCGCATGCAAGGTGTGTCGGACCGCAGGCGTGGACAGGAGCCTGCGGGGCCTGCACTCTGCCGACTCAGTGCCTCGCCCACCTGCCGGAAGCAGCGCCCAGACAGCATTCACATACCTCTGGCCAGGGTACCCCTCAGAGTACTTGTTATTTAAGCAGGAGCCCAGGGCCTCCAAAACTGCTCGGCTGGCGAAATTCTCTGAGGCGATCAGCTCTAGTCCAACCCTCTGCCGGTTACTCTCCTTCTTAATGATGTTGTAAACCTGCAGAGAAGAAAACAGACACAAACATGAGGACCTCTAAGCTCAACATTCTACTCTGATCACAGCGATGACTGAGGCAAGACAAGAGCCGCTGTTAAAGTGCCGTATTTTGCCCTCAGAGGTTGACCATAACCCAAAAAACCAAACTCAGAATATACTTAAAATAAGTATCTCACCTAATTTTTAATTCTATACCGTCTTATCTTTAGTTTTACATTTCACCAAGTTTTCCCTTCCCTGATTCCTTCCTTCTCTTCTTTAAAATAAGCTTCCTTAAAAGATGGTTAGGCCAGGCTGGTGTGGCTCAGTGGTTGAGCGCTGACCTATGAACCAGGAGGTCACAGTTCAATTCCTGGTCAGGACACATGCCTGGGTTGTGGGCTCCATCCCCAGTAGGGGGTGTGCAGGAGGCAGCCAATCAATGATTCTCTCTCAACATTGATGTTTCTATCTCCCTCTTCCTTCCTCCCTGAAATCAATAAAAATGTATTTTTTTTAAAATGTATTTTTTTATTGATTTTTTACAGAGAGGAAGGGAGAGAGACAGAGAGTTAGAAACATCGATGAGAGAAACATCAATCAGCTGCCTCCTGCACATCTCCTACTGGGGATGTGCCCGCAACCCAGGTACATGCCCTTGACCGGAATCAAACCCGGGACCCTTCAGTCCGCAGGCCGACGCTCTATCCACTGAGCCAAACCGGTTTCGGCAAAAATGTATTTTTACAAATACATTAATAAAATATGCTTCTTGGTGTCTAAATGTCCTCCTCTGAACTGTAAGAAAGGGTCAGATGTCAGTGACCTTCCCCGTACCCCCAGAGCATCCAGCACAGAGCTCTGCACTTTGCAGAAGCACAGAAATACTTACCCTTATCCTGGAAGGGCTTTTAGCACTTTGCCAACCGCTGCCTCTAAGCCTGGCACTCTTATACTAACTGCAAGGCTATTCTGGATGAAGGGCACTTGGCATTAGAACTAGAAAGTAAAAAGACACTGGGATCTAAGGACACCCACGAAGACCCCACAGCCTCACCTCGATGTCGCTGTCTTTCAGGGGCTGCGCCAGCATTTTGTCATGCGAGGACCACAGGTCAGCATTCTTGGGAGCCCTGCTCACCGCAGTCGCCATTGCACTGGTTCAAAGTTGCCTCAAAATGGAAGAACTTCCAACATTAATTTTAGTCAAAGCTCATTGCAACCTGTTAGTTCTCTGAGTTGCAAAAGTATTGATCGACATATTAGCCCCTCCCTCAACTGCTTGGTAAACATGAAAATAGTCTATTGCAAAACCACCACGTGGGACTTCTGGTTCCCTCGGAACTGTGGGTGTCAGCTTGTTATCCAGTTAGCGATGAGAGCCACCCCCCGCCCCAGGAGGCCTGACCCCACGGACAGAGCCCTGCGCTGCCTTTTCTCAGCTAACCTTTCCTGCTGTGGCTTCTCTCTCCAACTAAACTAACTTCCTGGAAGGCAAGGGCTGTGTGCTACTTTCATGTTTTTAAATCTCCCACAGAATTCAGTGCGGCCATACATGAAGTAATATTTGCCTCAACAATGAATTACTTGTCATTTTTTCCATTTTTTAAGGAATGAAAACAAGGCTCAGAGCAGTAAAGCCTCTTAGCCTGTGGCTGCACAGCACATTGGCCATGAGGGTCAGACTCGGAACCTGAAGTCATATGCTCTTTTTACCCACAGGGTTCCTGGAGAAACTGCAAGTTAGAGCACGCACTGGCTTAAATACAGACTGCCCTGCAAGAATTATAGATAGGAAAAAAAAAAAGAATTATAGGTCAATCTTTTTCAACAGAAAACTGCATCCCATCAAAACGCCGGAAAATGTATGTTTTTACAAAGAACAAGAATTTGTGATCTGTGGCATCTCCCCTGGTGTGAAAGTTTAAATATTTACAGGAACCTACCTCCCCTAATCAACAAACAGTCGGCAGCTTTTCAGCAGTGTTCCAAAAATTTGGTAAGCTTTCATCTAAAAGGATTCATGGAGCCTGGCCGGTGTGGCTCGGTGGTAGCACGTCAGCCCATGCACTGAAGTCTCGGGTGCGATTCCCCATCAAGGCACAGACCTGGGCTGCAGGCCGACCCCGGCCCCGTCGGGCGCTTTTGGGAGGCAACCAGTCGACGTGTCTTTCTCACATCCGATGTTTCTCTCTCTCTTTAAAAATCAGTGAAAAAAATATCCTCGGGCAAGGATTACCAACAACAATAATAATAAAGTAAAAATAAAATAAAATGATTCACCGACAACTATTTATTCAGGCCTCTCTGTGCCGCCTGGCATTGCTATTGGGAACACAGTTCTGAGCACAGCAGACTGGGCCCTGCCGTCAGGGCCTTCCCTGGTGCGGAAGGTGAGCAGCAAACTGAACACGTGTACTAAATGCAGTCGGATAAAATGAGAGCCAGGAAGGACGGGAGCTGGGTGCTGGGGCGAGCAGGGCTCACGCTGGAGCTGAGGCAGGGGCCTACCCTAGGAAAGGGTGTCTATATTAAGAAAGATCCAACCATGAGGAGAGAGCCCATCCCCCAAGAGTAATGAGATGATACCTATATATTGGTCTCGGCTCCTAACCCGTTGTGAGTTGCTAAGTGAAAAGAGCTAGGAGCCTCTGTTGTTCTAATGAGGTGACCCTGGGTGGGCCCCTGGGTGGCTCCTGGCTGGGGCGCTGGTCACCAGAAAGACCAGCCAGGATTAGAAGCCTGGGCTTTTCAGCCCCGCCCCCACCTCTCCAAAGAGGAGTTAACACTTGATCATGCCTACATGAGGAAGCCTGCATATATTCAGAGCTTCCAGGTGGGTGGACACATCCACACGGGGAAGTGGCGCACCCTAACTCCATGGGGGACAGAAGCTCCTGTGCTCTGGACCCTGCCAGACCTCACCCTGAGTGTCATCTTGCTGTTCACCTGTATCCTTTATCATCTCTCTGAAAAAACTGGTAGCCTGGCTGGCGTGGCTCAGTGGTTGAGTGTCAACCTATGAACCAGGAGGTCACGGTTCGCTTCCCGGTCAGGGCACATGCCCAGGTTGCAGGCTTCATTCCCAGTGTGGGGCATGCAGGAGGCAGCCAATCAATGATTCTCTCTCATCACTGATGTTTCTATCTCCCTCTCCCTTCTCTCTGAAATCAATAAAATTATATTTAAAAAAATGATAAACGTTAAGTGTTTCCCTGAGTTCTGTGAGCTGCTCTAACAAATGATGGAATGCCAGGAGCAGGTCACGGGAGTCTCTGATTTGTAGCCGATAGGACAGAAGTCGTGGATAACCTGGGGACCTACTATTTGTGATTGACATCTGAAGGGGGTGGTCTCGTGGGCTGAATTAACTCCGGGTAGAATTGGATTGAATTGTAAGACACCCAGTGGTGTCTCAGACCTGCTGATGCCGGAAAACCCCCACACATCTGGTGTGAGAAGGGTTGCTTGGTGGTGGTGTGAGAGTAAAAGGGAAACACAGCAGAAAGGTGGTAGCTTTTCCCACACAAGTACACACACAGTAAATTTGCTCAACAAATACACCCATTAGATAAAACAGTCTAATAGTCCCAAATTACAGGGATCCTCCTTAATCTCCGGTCCTATAACCTTGAACCAGGAAATTCCTCTCAGGGCTTTCAAAGCAGCCATTATTTTACCGTAAGCACAGCACTGTGCTGGAACGCAATGGACACTTCTGTGGTCACAGCAGCACCACCTTGCCAAGGACAGGCAGGTGACCTTGAATGTGGCTGGCCACGCCCCACATTTCCACCAGAGGTAGAGAGAGACCCGTGAATGCCGACCTCTGCACTCAAGAACGGCCAGTTCAACCCAAGGACCTGTGCATAGGCCAACACCACCCTCGGCAGGTGGTAAGCCCACAACAAAAAGCACCTGAGACAAAACTGCTTCAGATACTGCCCCAGGACAGTCAGACAGATCCTGTCACTGTGAAAGGCACTCAGCTCCCCTCTGCTCAGGAAAAAGAACCAAGTCTCTGCCTCATCTGTGGTCTCACTCATCTCACTGCAGCGTAACAACCTGCCGCCCTGCTGCAAACCTTTTCCTTGCCCAGGATGCTAGTTCTGATTCACAGTGACCGCTTCTGCCCACGGTGAGGGTGCGGATGTGGCCAGCACCCCACGCTCACTGCCCACCCACTGGGAGTCTCCTCCCCGGGGTCCCGTTACCACTCAGGATCAAGTCACCCCCCCCCCCCAGACAGAGTAATTAATTCATACTCTCAGTAAATCCATATTGAGTCTAAGTTGAGCTTTTTTTTAACCAGGAAGAAGTTTGAGTTCTTCATTCAGAGTTCAGGATTGTGTGTCTTGTTTCAATTAAATCAGTTATAATCTATTACATCTATTAAGTCAATAAAATCTATTCTATCCTGAGGGGTGCTGTATGGCCTTGCCTGGGTTAGGGATGCAGTTCTGCAGCCTCAGCTGTCATGAAATGGTGGCATGCGCCTCACTCACCCCAGGGAGACAGGCCAGGAAGTGAATTCATTCTCCAAAGTCACCAGCCTCCCCATGCCTCCAACCTTCCCTGGGCCTCGGTCACAAGTGGAACCGAGGGCCTGCGGAGGGAACCCCTGCTGAATGTCACCCGTCTCAGGCTCTGTGACCTCCGCTTTTCAGAAAGCTGAGGCTCAGAGAGCGCAGGGCCGAAGGCCATGTCATTTGAACCGTTTTCCCTGGAGTTGGTTCCAAAGCCCGCCTGCGCCACCCGCACTAAATAAAAGCACAACCACCCAACTCCGCGCATGTTCCCTCGAGTAGGAAGTTACAAATGCGATCCCGTAAGAATCTAAACTGGTGTTTCCAGTGCAGCAGCTGCCTGACGGAAGGCACCTGCGGGTGCGGGGCTCCGCTGGCCAAGGTCCACTTAACTTCCAGGGTTGGCAGCACAGGGCACCGGGCCAAGAGCCCTACGGTGCAACGTCCGTCCCCCAGAACGGCTGCAGCCTGTCCCTCCCCTCGGGGACCCAAGCCGAGCGGCCACAAACGCCGCGGTGAGCGCGCCGGCTGCGGGGAGCCTGGGTTCGATTCCGTGTGCCATGTGGCAGGGTCCCGCCTACACCGGCTCCTCTCCGAGCCTCCCCGTCCCGTCTGCAAAGCACTCGACTGGCAGCTTGGCTGGGAGGATGCTGCGGGGAGGTGCAGCTGCACTTGCATTTGGAATGCTCAGCCCGAGAGCGCTCAGGGGAGAGCGGCCACTCGGACCTGTGTTCAGCTGGGCCACCCCCTACCGCACCTGAGACCTGGGACCAGAGAACCGGCGCTGGGGACTCGCGCCGACCCCCCGCCCATCACCCCGCGCGCCCCTCACCTGCGCGGCCTGCAGAGCACGTGGGGCTGGGGAGCCAGGAGACGCGCACAGCCGAGCGCGCCGCGAGCGCCGGGTCAGAGGCCCGCCCGAAGCTGCCCACCTGCCGGGACCGACGGCCCACGCTGCCGTCCGCGCGACCGGAGACCGAGACTCGCGGGGCCGCGCACCTGCCACGTGACCCGCCCGCCCGCCCGCCTCGAACCGCGCTGCCCCGGTCCCCGCGCGGCCCGCCTGGCCCCGCCCCGCCTCGCCTCTGGAGGCGCCCAATCAGAGCGCGCTGCGTGTTGGGGGCGGGGCGGGCGCCCCGAGACCCGCGCCGGCTCACCTGGGCCTGCGGGCGGCTGCGCGCTCCTGGCCTGGCTGCGAGCCAGGGAGCTGGGATGCTGGGGAGACGTGCAGGGCCTGTCCCGGGAATTGGGGTAGGCCCTGGGGTTGGGGATGAGGTTTGCTGCTTATATTTAACTTACAGTTTAGCAGGTGGTCATTTAAATGGGACAAACGTGGATTTGCACTTCAACACTGTGGCTCGGTACCTGTGGAACCCTAGAACAGGCACTTACATGTCTCACTCTTGAGTTGGAGATCATTATGTCTGCCTGGCGTGGCTGTCAGGAGGATTAACGGACAGATCTAAAGCACTCACATTGTGCCTGACACATAGCTAGGGCTCAATAAATATTGGAATATAGACAGAAACCAGGGGCTGCACACCATAGGGAAAGAGCTGACAGATTCTCTTGACCACATCCTACTCGGGCTCCTCTGAAATATTTTTCCATGAAGCCTGACTTTCAGACTTCCCTGTTTGTCTCTGCTGTGGCGGGACCGGAGTCCAAAGCCCACGGGGTCCAGTTTCAGCAAGGATGCTGCTAAGTCCGTTTGACCAGAACCCCCCCCCCCATATCTAGTTGGATTTCTCATCCTCCATTATCTGGGTGATGTCTGATCACCCTGGCTGGTCAGTTTAGCCAGAATCCTCCTCACCTCCGATGTTTCTTCCTCTCATTTTCCATCCACTGCACCCCTCCCCCTCCTTGGCTATAAGTTCCATTGGCCCATATTCACACTTGAGCCCACTCTCTATTGCCCACTGAAAGATTCCATTGCGGTGGTCCCTATACCTATAGAAATAGTTTCCCCTGGAATAAAGTTTTCCGTACTGTGTCATCGAATAATTTGTTCTCTAACAGCTCCTGATATTTCACTCCTCAGTGTATCAACAACTCTTAACCTCTTACAATGTCAAGCAATTTCCAAAATGTAACAAATGTGAGTAATGGGACAGTTAATAGATTCAAAACTGATTCAGGAAATTCCTGGGAAAGACAGTGAGAAAGTGGGGATCCATAAGAAGTCCTATTTCCAGGAGAGTCACACAATACAACACTGACTCAGGATGATTTTGTCAAATAGCTTCTTTGCCTAGTGAGTCCCTTCCTTCTCTAGCTCCCTTGTGTCACCCCACCCCCTCACTGTGCATCTTTGGAATTTAGAGCAAAGTAGATAGTGTGGACACCGATAAGGAAGATACCTACTAAGAAGGGCTCCTGGTGGCTGACTGGGCTCAATGTGTGTTTTTTTTTAAGAAACAGAGCCTAGCAGCTTTTTCTTCACAGGGGCCTCTCATGCAAACTGCACGTCAGGCAGAGGCCTGCTCTGAACTGCCTGCCTCTCCACTGAACTCCTGCCTGCCGGTGTTCCTGCCATTTGAGCCAGCCTTATAAAGGAGTTCCTGACCTATTTCAACCAATAGGACTGAGCTTTCCTCTTCCAATCAGAGCTGCACAGCTGTATCAACATCTTTACCCACCAATCACAGCAGCTCCATCGGACCAATCAAATGTCAGGAATCTGGATCCTTATTTTATGAGGACAGACCAGGCAGGGATCAGGGGACTTCTGCTTACATAAGCTGGCTCCCCTCTGGCACACTTGCCCTTCCCACTGAGGACTGAGACTGCATTACCCCGGCTGAGCTGAAATACTGAAGATGTCTTCTGGACCAGCGTGGAGCAGACCAGCACAGGCCAGAGCAGAGATGTCCAGCCAGAGAGGGGCCAGGCCCCTGGGCCGCCTCTTAGCCGTGCTGGATCACAATTGAACTCTTCTGCACTGAATTAAGTTTCCTTCTTCACCGCACCCCAAACTGGGGATTCCTCTTGGCATTGAATTGGTGCCACCAACCATTGCTTAATAATTGTAAAGACAGGGACAAATAAAAAAAATAAGAGGTTAGCCCTCGCTGGTGTGGCTCTGTTGGTTCAGCATTGTCCCATGCACCAAAAAATCACTTGTTTGATTCCTGGTCTGGGCACCTACCCAGATTGCAGGTTCAATCCCCAGTTGAGGTGGGTGCAGAAGGCAACCAGCGAATGTTTCTATCTCATGTGGATGTTTCTCTCCCTCTACCTTCCTCTCTCTACAATCAATACACATTTAAAAATAAAAATAAGAAGTTTAATTCTCCCAGTTTAAGATAAGAGGAGGACTCTCCCTCCACTCTGTTTTCTTTGAGCATGTTGACGAAGAACACCCAAACCTGTAGAGAATTTTGGTGAGAATTTATTTGAGCCAAAACTGACAACAATGCTGGGAAGTAAGATCTCAAGTGCACTGGAGAATGACAGTGTGGGGCTTCTTTCATGTGTTTGGAATGAAGGAGGGAATATAAGGAAGATGAAATAAAGGTGGAAGAAAGCAAGATGGGGTTTGGGTTACAGGAGCGTTACGGCTAAGGGCTCCCTTGAGGGTGATTAGCCTCCAAGGGGTCTGAGGTGCTGTGGGTGTGGTAGTAAGTATGGTGAGTGTGGTGATGTTGTGAGACAGATTAAGAGAAAATAACCAAATTTAATACATAAAATGCATGGGAAGTCCTCATACATGAGAGAGTCAGAGGCCTCACACGCATGGGAGGGTCACAGACAGGGAAAGTGTGGTATATGTGACACTCTGAGCTAAGAATGAGGTGAGGCACCTTGCAGAATTGTAAGAGCAGATGTTTAGTAATGAAAAGTTTGCCCTGCCTGCCCAGGTTGGTGTGACTCAGTTGGTAGAGCATCATCCCATGCACCCCGAGGTGGCTGGTTTGATTCCCAGTCAAGAGCACCTGCCAGGGGGGCTCAATCCCCAGTAGGGGGCGTGCAGGAGGCAGCCAATCCCCTCATTGATGTTTCTGTCTCTCTCTCCCTCTCCCTTCTTCTCTTTCTAAAGTCAATAAAAACATATTTTTTAAATAAAATAAAAAAAAGTTTGCCCTGCCCTATAGGTAGGCAAAAAAGGTTCTCTCGCCCTGGCTGGTGGGCTCAGTGGTTAGAGCACTGGACTTCGCACTGAAGGGGCAAGGGTTCCATTCCCAGACAGGTACCTGGGTTGTGGGGTTGCTCCCCACCCCCAGCCGGGCCACCTGTGGGAGGCAACCACTTGATGTATCTCTCACACTGATGTTTCTCTCTTTCCCCTTCCCCTTCCATTCTCTCTGAAAAACAATGGGGGGAAAATATCCTCAGGTGAGGATTAACAAGGAAACACAAACAGTTATCTCTGATAATCATTTATTATGGCATCAGCCCCTAATTTAATTTCTTCTAGATAGTTAAGTGGGAGCAAAAGTTTCTCTTGAGCCCCCAGAGTCCTGGTTGCCTCTAGTTCAAAATGATCTGCACACCACAGCGGCACATCTAAACCCCCACAGCTGTATAAGGGGATGAGATTCCTTTCTGTCTTACCAATGTCCAGTAGACAAAAAAAAAGGCGGGGGGCGGGGGGGACGTTCTACAGAAAGTAACCTCCCAGGGTGATCTGATCATAAACTCCCAACTCCGCAGTCCTGGTGGGTAGCCATGCCCAGCACTTAACTTCTTTAGAAAAAGGGTTACCTTCGCCTTAAGCAAACCCTCTCCATTGTATATGTGCATTGAAGTTAACACACCTTTGAACTAGGTGGTAACCACCCTCAAGGGAGCAGTAATCTCACGTACCCTGTATTCCAGTTCCACCTTGCTTTCTCCCACCTTCATGTTATCTTCCTTAACTTTCCTCCTTAATTTCAAACAAATAAAAGAATCTGAAAATCTGTTATTCTCTGGAGCATTTGAGAAATTGTTTCCAGCATCATCATCAGTTTTGGCTCAAAAACTCTCTACAGGTTTGGACACTCAGTGACAGCCATAATCCTAGTGTAACTGGACAAACAACCGTGCTGCCTGTCACTACTCGAGCCAATTAAGCAGAGGCAGGGTTGAATCATACATGAGCGGTTATTCCAGTACTAGAGGCCAGATGCATGAAATTCGTGCAAGAGTAGGCCTTCAAACCCCTGGCTGCCGGTCCTCCGGAAGGTCATCCGGACAGTTGTTCTGCAGTTTGGTCTAATTAGCATATTAGCTCTTTATTATATAGTACTAGAGGCCCGGTGTACAAAAATTTGTGCACTCGGGGGGGGGGGGGGGCTCAGCTTGGCCTGTGCCCTCTCGCAGTCTGGGACCCCTCAGGGGATGACCATCTGCTGGCTTAGGCCTGCTCCATGGGGAATTGGGCCCAAGCTGGCAGTCAGACATCACTCTGGAAGCCTGGGAGCCCTCAGGGGATGTCCACTTGCCAGCGGGGAGCAGGCCTAAGCTGCAGTCGGACATCCTTAACGCTGTTGAGGAGGCGGGAGAGGTTCCCACCACCACCACTGTATGGCAGCCATCAGCCTGGCTTGTGGCTGAGCAGAGCTCCTCCCATGGGAGCGCACTGACCACCAGGGTTGGCTCCTGTATTGAGCATCTGCCTAATGGTGGTCAGTGTGTGTCATAGTGACCAGTCATTCCCAGTCTTCCTGCTTTTAGGGTCAATTTGCATATTACCCTTTTATTATATAGGATAGAGACCTGGTGCATGGGTGGGGGCCAGCTGGTTTGCCCTGAAGGGTGTCCCGGATCAGGGTGGGGGGTCCCACTTAGGTGCCTGGCCAGCCTGGGTGAGAGGCTGATGGGTGTTTGCAGGCTGGTCACACCCCCTTCAGGGTAGGGGTCCCCGCTGGGGTGCCTGGCCAGCATGGGTGAGGGGCTGATGGCTGTTTGCAGCTGGTCACACCCCCTTCAGGGTGGGGGTCCCCACTGGGGTGCCTGGCCAGTCTGGGTGAGGGGCTGAGGGCC